TTGTGTGCCACGTCATCGGACACAAAGCCGCGAGCTGTCCTCAATGGACCCGAACCTCACGGAGAAAGATGATCGAAGAAGAACCCCGCCTGCGCACTATCAAGGTGGCCGGGGCTAAGGATGATCTACGCGTGAACGCCACCCTGATTTCCAGAACAAGAAGTAACCCCATCACGACATCTATGATCGTAGACTCTGGGGCGTGTCAGTCCTTCGTCAACCAGGACATAATCACGCAGCACCACATCTTGACGCACCAGCTAGAGAACCCCCTGACACTCTCGAACGCTGATGGATCCTGCTTTGGAAAGAAGCCAATAGAAAGGTTTTGCAACCTTACTTTCCAGATCGATGAACGGGTAATTTCCGAACGGTTTTACCTAGCCGAACTTGGTCCGAAAGACAAGTTCCTGCTTGGACGACCTTGGCTTATCAGCCAGAACCCCTTGATCAATTGGAAAACCAGCGCGGTAACCCTCAAAAGTACCGCAGATTCCCGAAAGAAGCAGAAAGAAATAGATTCTGATCGGAAGAAGAACGGCAAGGCGCCCCTCTTCCTGAAAGAAGAAAAGAAGGTGGCATTGAAGAGAAAACGATCGGTATCCCCGACCACTCCCCGCACCTCCTCTTCGGGCTCTGTACCATCAACCCGAAAGACACAGATTGCACCGGTCCATGAAAAACCGCAGAACGGAACCCCCGTTGAACCTTCAGAAACCGCACCACAGCCCGCGAAAACTGTGACGAAGAAAGACTCGCTGCCTAGAATTGATCTTGCAGCAAAAAGATATGAACAGAAGAAACCGGCCACTGACCCGGAGACAACTCAGAAGAAGACTTCCAGACCGGCGCTGATATCTGACCACATTTATCCCGAACCGCCACGAACGAAGAAGATTGTACCGGCTGCTCAGCCGATGAAGATTGAAGAAGATCCCATACCTGCCCGATATGAATTCTCGGCAGAGCCTGCACAAGTCCTTGGGAAGGGACGTGCAATAATGAACGAAGAACCGCCTGTATCCAAGGCACCCAGACTGGCCCCTGAACCAGAGAAAACTCAGAGATTTGAATTTTCTGGAGAACCGATATCCGTTCTCGGAAAAGGACGAGCAGTCCGAATCGAAGACCCTCCGACCGCCAAGAAACTCAGATTCTATGAAAGTCCTGAGTCCGCAATGGAGGAAGACCCCGAACCAGCATATTTAACCGCTGATGAACCGCCGAATTCCCTCAACCTCTCCATGACACCCGCGCATAATTCCGAGGAAGCAATGACGCTGTCTTCAGACACCGAACTCCCTCCTGTGTTACAAGAAGCCCAGGATATTTTCATCGAACGAATCGCTTTGATCCACGAAGCATATCGTCAAAATGAAATAGAAAAGGAAGCACAAGATGCCGGGCCCAGTTTTGTCCGATTTATCGACATGGACAACTCCAAGGATGACGAGGATGAAGACAAAAATGCACCCTCTTCGCATGATCTGCGAATGGTAGATTCAGAAGGAAACGACTTCAAAGACGACGGCCCGTTCCCAGGCCTAGACTTCTGATTGAATATGATTAGTCGGTGACTAATGGCTTAGTAAGGGGGTGAAATCCTCCATTTTACTTATTTTTCCACGCCTACTCCACCCCGAACACTGATCACCGATCCCGAACTCGACCAACTTCTACGCAGGTCCGGAACGACCTAAAACTAGATTGGTCCGGAACGACCTAAAACTAGATAGGTCCGGAATGACCCTAAACTAGATATAGTCCGGAAAGACTCTAAACTACGATTGTCCGTAATGACATAAAACTAGACGATGAACAAGGACGAACCCCGGAAAACTCCTGCAAGCTTCGGGACCCCTCACATCACTGCACTTCGACTACCTGAGTAGACCATATATAAACAAAGGGTAATAGAAGACGATCTCCCCGCTGGACGACCCCAAGAAACTCCTACAAAGCCTTGGCACCCACACTCGGATCCCCACCTTCGACATCTAAATAAAGAACCCAGAAATGGATCTATAAAAGATAAGAAGACTAGACCTCCGGAACGAGGCTAAACTATCACGAGACGAACTCCACGGAAACTCCTGCAAGCCCTTGGAACCCTCTAGAACCCATCATGGCAATGACGACCACCCTCTGATGACGACCTGATCTTTCAACAAAGATAAAGGATGATAGTACCTATCACGGCACTTTCCCTCTGATAGCGAAGAAGAATCTCGAACACGAGTTAGCCTCATGGCTAGATAAGACGATAAGAGATATCGATAACGATAACAAGTTTAGATTGAATCGGAGCTTGGATTGATCTGGAAGAAGGTTATAAACCCTCTCGATCCTCGAACATCTCTCCACGAACCTCCATCATCATCATGACGAACTCCATCGACAACGACTCTATCAAAATTGCACTGAAGGACTCCGACTACGGGAACGTCCTCAGAATGACAGAAAATAGCGCGTTCAATGAAGCCGCTATCCTGACCCCCGCGTACTCCCAAGCGATCGACGAAATCCTTGGTGAACAAGACGCCAGAACTGCAGCGTGCACCTCCCTCACCGTCTGCATTATACGAACCACGAAGCTGCTGGAAGATGTAGCCAATCGTGTTGACCTCGATGAAGCAACTCGGAAACTTGCTATACTTCATCTGCAACGGCGGATCAGAAACTTCGCACTTCACTTACTCCCCCTCGACTTCTCCGATACCACTGACCTCGCAATAAAGAAAGTCGAAGTGAAGCCCGTTACTGAAGAACCCCATCCGGTACGCCCGCTAAGAAGAAAAGCGGCTACCATAGAACGAACCCATAGGACGCTCTGCAAGCGCTGCGGAGGATACGGACATCAGTTCAGAAGATGTCCAGATTATGTTTGTTGCATCTGCGATGAACTAGGACCTGACCATCTGTCGGTCCACTGCCCGCGACTCAACGGACGCATTGTACTCCAAGAGTTTAGCGATGAAGAGAAGTTTTTCGAAGCTCTCTTAGATTGGGAGCATAACCACAAGGCACTCGCGGATCTAGAACTTCAGCATCCCACTGAACTTTCCCCTGTCCCTGAACCTCCCTCAGTACCTTCCGTCTCCACGTCAGCAAACCCCGCACCACCTGCTGCTACGATGGAAGAAGATGTCTAAAGAAAACAAAGCCGGTGACTTTGTGCGTAGTAATGGGGTAATGTTACAGTCACTACGTGAGCCCCCAGCTACACGACCAGCCCTCTGCCACCCTGCACGGCAACGACACGATACCCGGGCCTTTAGGCCTTGATGATAGATGATGAATAGAAGAGAAGTCCGGAAGATGCCGGATTAGGTAAGCGATCTGGATCGCTTACATGATATGACGATATAGGTCTGGAAGACCTATTTATGTTATCAAGATAGAAGGCAAGCCTCGTGTTGCCTCATGTACTAATAGAAGGACGCCTCGCGGTCCTTATCCTAGATAGAAGCCTGCCTCATGCATGGTATCTCTGACTCGATAGATAAGCAGATTAAGAACCCAGCTTCAAGCTGAGCTTAGATCGATAGAATAGCCTTATATAAGGTCGACGATTAAAGTAGATGTTCCTTACTTTAATCCTACTGGGTTTTACCTCGAAACCTTTGTCTTGCTAAAGCTACCTGCTTGACATCAGATCCGTACCTTCAGAAGGACTTGAGACCCCTTCTGCCTGTAAACTGCCATCATCGTTCGCCTCCGTGAACGTACGCAACTTCTGCTCTTCTGTGGAAGCCGACCTCGGACTCTCAGCACGAGATATCACTGTTGTGATCGTCGCTGTTAGATCATCCCAGTCCGCACGCGACACACGTCGTAACACCTATTGCTTTCTGAGTCAAAGCCCATCCAGCGACCCTCTATAGCCTGCTGTAACACTTGGGTCGGCGCTGGACACGTATCTAGTCAAAATCATGTCTTACATTCCTCAACACACTTCCAATTGTCCAAATGTTCCGCACACTTGTCCGAGTCGTCCAAAGGTTGTCTGTCCATTTCCAAGGCCTTTCTAGCCTTTCCAGTTCTCTGTGCCATGTCCTATCCTTGTCCATTTGGCTTCGCTGGTGCATTTTTCACTTGGTTATCTGTTATTGATTATGTCTAGGGGCCCATATGTCGAAAACCCTTGCTAATACGTATAGATATGCACCTCGTGCATTATTACATGTGTATCTTCGTAGCAGCTCGCCTTGAGTCTTATTACATTTCAGATGTCTTATCTCACTACAGTTTTCGCCTACACATATTCTGGACTTTCATGCAGTAGGATATATTCTGGCTCACTAATACTCGCAACTCACTTCACTTCCCTTGCTACGAGTCATAGTTAGTAGAGTTGCTTTCGGATTTTGGTACTTCGTGCAATCAATCTTTGTTCATTTGGAATGATTGTTTGGCCTCACTGCTGCCATTTTGCTATTAAATTCCTTAAGTCTTTCGACGGACTTCGCTAGTCATACTACGCAGAGTTCTATACTTTGACAAACCGCCGTATTCTCTACCGGAAACCTTGCTGTTTTATCGGAAGCTCGCTGGAAGCTTCGCGCAACCTCAGACCTTTTTTTCTCAACATCGGACCTCGACTGGACACTTCGGACAACTCATGAGGCACTTTGGACGATTCTTCGGAACTCTGAACGTACTTGAGGTATCCTTTCTCTCACTCCCCTTCGATCTTAACTAGATATCCCTTGCATTTATTCAAGAGATAATCCTACAGGCAGTCTCTTTGGGACGAACATCTCACTCGCACTTAGAGTCTTAAGGTGACACTTATTGTATAGCCCACCAGGAATCTACTCTTTACACCACATGTCCAGTTTTGAGCCCACTGTTGTGTGTACTTTGACATGGGGTTGAAATTATGGTTCCCTCTTCATATCAGGTCTGCATGTGATGCCGATGGAAGCTTCTTGGCCTTGACTGACGAAGACCTTGACAGAGTCCTGACGGTTATGAGTATGGCTTGGGCCCATGGTACCAGAGAATGCTATGGAGCTGGGTTATTACCTTTTCACATCTTTTGTGATGAGCGGGCTATTCCAGAGGCGCAACGCTGTTCAGTGGCAGATACTCGGACCATTCTCACTTTCATAACAAGTTGCACCAGCTCTTATGCAGGAGGAACTCTGGCTAATTATGTTTACACCATTTGGGCATGGCACACATTTTATATGAACAGCCTTGGAGTGTCGAGCAGGAACAGTTGAAAGCTGCGCTGGACAGAGCAGTAATTAACATGCCCAAAGCTTCCAAACACCCAAAATGTGCTCCCTTCACCATCAATATCATCCTCAACATTTGTTCCCATCTTGACCTTTCCTCACCACTCGACACAGCCATCTATGCTTGTCTAACCAGCACATTTTACTCTCTCACTCGCCTCAGGGAGTTCACCATCAAAGCAATAAAGAACTTTGATGGAGGAGTGCACATTAAGTGCTCAGATGTCATAATGGATGCGGAGGACAGGAATGGTCGTTGTGTCACCAAAATTCACTGACCATGCACCAAAACCTCTATCGTCAGTGAGGACACTCATTTATTGGGCGCATCAAGCAGATGATACTGATCCTAAAGCAGCCATCATCAATCACTTCACAGTAAACAATCCTTCAGACAATGACCATCTCTTCACTTGGAGGCATCCCAAAGGCACCAGATCTTTGACGTGCATGGCCTTTATCAAACAAATCGGTGAGATAGTCAGGAGGAATGCGATGCTGGACTTGAAAGGTCACGGACTGCGCATAGGTGGAACATTGGAGTATTTGTTACAAGGCATTCCCTTCAATGTTGTCAAATAGATGGGCAGATGGTCAAGTGACACGTTCAGCATCTACCTACATCAACATGCCATGATTATGGCTCTGTATCTACAGGAATCACCAATTCTCGAACTGTTCACACATTATACCATGCCACCACTATGGTGAATATTATAGGTACGTTCACGCACCGCTCCTTTGTTTTGGGAGTCCACACTAAGCCTGACGCATTGCAGTGCTCCTTAATTTATTTGGGAATCACAGCTCATCCTCATCAGTAAATCACCGGGCTCTGTCCAGATCTGTCCAGATCTGGACAGTGCGCCATGTGCACAGCTTGGTCCCTTCTAGCTAGTTCACTACAGTAGAGCTTTTTCTGTCAACCTCTGCACAGACCCTCACAAACCTGCCTAGTGAGGACCAAATAGGTCTTGAATATCATCATTTTTCTGTCTGTTTGTACAGATCTGTCCATGTTCATGCAGATATTCACAAACCACTCAGAAGTTCACTCGGCTCGGGTACAGTAGCTCATTTTTCTGTCTTGTCTTGTACAGATCTGTCCATGCTCGCGCAGATACTCACAAATGACTCAGAAGCTCACTCGACTCGGGTACAATAGTAGCAAACAAACGACGATAAATTCAATCAGCGCGAAACACGATACTAGCAGACAACGAGCAAAAAGGTAAAAGTATATGCGCAAGAATATGATGTGTGACGATTGACACTGCCAGGAGACGGGAGAACTCAATCGAGTTGGACGCGCAGGTGGCGATGTTTGGATGTGTCAACGCCGTCGAGTTTCGATGTTTCTGCCCTGAATAAATTCATCAGTATTGAACACTATGTAAAAGCCTCCTTACCATCCAATCTTGGCCCATTCACGGAGTTGCTGCACCAGCTTCGGACCGTGATATGGGTCTTTCATGACAGCATCAAGTAGCTCAAGCATCGAATGATAGATGGACTCGTACTCCTTCGAGGTAAATTTTGAATAAGACTTGCCATTGCCGTTTTTCTTGAGGCCCTGGAAGACGCAATGAAACTGAAAGTAACGTGTCAGAATGTTGAAACATCAATATCCTGGACGTACCGCGGTGCAAACGAGAGCTAGGCATTTTAATGGAACCTCCTTCCGAAAAATGGCTGGTCGCCTATGAGCAATGCGATAAGACCCAGTATAGTAAAAAAGAATGATGGCCTGAAGAAGCGCAGGGTGAGCAAAGTTCTTGGTTTTCCCCAATTCATCGACTCCATGGCGGAGAAATCTACCATCGGCCAGTAATTCTGCGGCGGTGACCTCAACCCAAGCTGCACGCTCTTGAGCGGGAATGTCAACTGGCGGGGAAAGACTGTATGCTGAAGGCGTAATGGAGATGACGATTTTTTTGAGATCAGATCGCCAAGTTGCCAAGTCATCATACAGCTAAAAAACAAATAAGATATGAAGCGCACTACAAAATGGATATACGCACCAGTCTCGCCATGTCAGGCTTATGAGCGGGCCACACACCTGGTGGATACCCTGAGTCAGTAGAATATCTGGAGAGAAATAGTAGCTTACCAGCGTCAACTTGTTGGCCGTTTTTTAGCCATTGCACAAGAGAGGCTGAGAGAGACTCTGTGATTGAAACTGGCAGATCATGAACAAGGCTTGGGAAAGGGTTCTCCAATGCCTGCTGAGTACGACACTCCGCCTTCGCGTCCTCGAGAAAACTCTTCCAGCGTGGACCATACCAACCCAGCTGGGTGGCCTTTGGCCCTTCATCGTCGGATCCATCGACCACCTTCGATTTATGTTTCGATGTCCGCTTCCGTTTCCGTTTTGCCTTTGGGTTGGAGGTATCGACCTCAGCAACACGGAGAAGCTCCAGGAGAGCAGGATCAGGAAGTCGGGGGTGACCGTTTCTTTCGTGATGAAGCTTCAAAACGTCGTTCGGCTTGAACAACAGATTAGCATACTCCAAAAGAGTAGTAGACTTATACCTGGGGGGCACTCTTTTGATTCATCGCTGTACCATCATCGCTCGAATCCTCACTCAAATCATCAACAACTCCCAAAATGTTTTCAGCTGCTTCATCACCTTCATCACGAGAGTGCTGAAATTCGAAATCTGTTGGGAGAGCAGGTGACTACCCGAGGTTGAGGTGGTGAGCATTCTCTCGGAAAACCTGTCGCTGTTCAGCTCAACCTGAACGTAAATAGGCAGCGACTTACCAGGGTGTGTACTATGATGCCCGTGAACTTCTCCCCAACCAATTTGCTCGTCCCCGCTACTTTCATCCAAGCCAGATGAATCATCTTTTGATGTGTCAGACTGTTCAGATTCTATACTTTGCGGTACAGGCAGCCGGAGGGCAGGATCTAAGTTCTGGTAAAAGTTCACATCCGGTAGCATCGCAGATGAATTGGTCCCGGAAAGTATAGGATCTTGGACGCTATGAGTAGTGACAGGAACCTGAGGTTGGGATATGTTAAGAGCAGTAACACGAGTTTGACTTAAAGAAGAATGGGAATCGGGCAGGGCGTGCGCCTTCTTGGCTGCGGCCACAAAGGAGTTGTTCAATGCTTGAAGATCTGGCTCTGTACCGGCAGGGACAATCGGTGGCGAAAATCTGTATCGTCCCCCAGCTTCCCGCTGCAAAAAAATTGGCTGATGGTTGAGTTCGAAGCTCGGAGCAGAAACGACAGTATCCTGCATATATGAATTAATACGTGATCGTTCACACAGTAGAAACTCACCTTGTTTTTCTTCGAGCGTGATTTCAGAGTCGTGGTGTCTGGTTCCACCGAAGGGCTATATGGCGGAGGGGGTTGTTTCTTCTATGTCTCTTTAGTATTGTTGAACACGAACAAAGAGAAAAGATACCTTGGAACGACTCCCGCGACCCTTGCGAGTCGGTTCAGGAGCGAGAGGGTTTGCAGGAGCGTTCGGATCAAGGGAGGTGGCACCCTTGGATTGGCTGATCCGCACTGGAGCATGCAAGATATCGCCCAGTTTCTCCAGTTGAGCTCCCCTACCTCCTGTCCCTGCGCCTGGGCGTCCTGATCGTCGAGGAGGCTGTGAATCAGCTCCTTGATCGAGAATTGATGCAGATGGTGCATTAGCCCGAGCACGCGCTCTCTTTGCTAGAGCTGTTTGCCCTTCAAGCGCCTTGAGATCAGAGTCCGTAGCTTTGCGCTTCGTTCTCTTTTTCTTAGGGCTTCCAGGCATGACTAGCGAAGGGGGAGAAGTGAGCCACTGGACCTATAACTTACTGATACTCACTTTTAAATATAATCCGCCATCGCAGCTTGAAAAGCGCTTGAAAATAACTATAAGTAAATACGTCATTGGACAACTTGAAGCACACCAAATGTAATACAGCGCAGCCCGGGGGTCGCGAATGGGGTTGATGAGAAGCTAGCCGAGTCCAAGAGTCTCATATGAGGAGTCAGTCAGTCGATAGGCTGGGAGTAAACGTGTGTAGTGAGTGTATCAAGTTAGGGCCGGGCGTGAGATATTATGACTCGTGAGAATATTTCAATGTCAAAATGGTATACATGGGAGGGGGTATTACTCTAGTATGGATGAAGGTGACGACGACTGTAGTAAATTATGTAGTTCTGTTACGTTTGGACTGGGGCATAACTTCCATTGTCCAGCCCATCCGACCAGGAATCTGGTTAGGACGTTCAGTAATTGATGGTTGGGATGGTTGGTCGAGATGATGATCAACCCAATCACCCTCCTCAAAGTCACTGGCCTGTCTCTTTTTCGGCAGCGCTGCAATAACCTTCCTTGCGAACAGAAGCTCGGGGGAAGGCTCGTCCTTCGGAAGCTTGGCAAGATGTGTATCCAACAGATCGAGGACCTCCTGGAAAGTTACTGCATTTGACTGTCCTTTGTTCCTGATCAGGTGGTACCATTCCGTTGCGAGTGGGAGTAGTGTCTTGAAGTAGGGGTGGAATTGTTTCTGCAGTTTGTGCGCGTTTGGGTGAAAAAAAAACGAAGTCTTCACATCGCCGCCAACTTGTAACGTGCTGGCGACCATAGATGCGGTAGCCATTCTTGACTCCTATCAGCTGAGAGATCACGTCTAACTCCAAGAGGACCCCTGAATTCAATGCAGATGCACACCAAGACGTAAAAAAGCGACTCCAAATCGTCATGGTAGTGATGTAGGATGAGGGGGGGCGGTTTTGTAAGGGAAGACGTGGCAACCTTCACCTTCCAGCTGCGAGCAGATGTTGCAGGGTCGCCAACAGCCTCTGAAAGCTGCCACAGAAGTGAACGTGACATGAAAGGCAATGTGCCCTAACATTCGCTGTGAGCATGAATTCTTGTAGAGAATAACTAGTACTGACCGTCCCACCGATAACGTATTTTTGGCCAGCATGGATATGCACCGCGAATTCCCAATCAATCAGGAGTCCGTTGGTACCATTGCCATCATCCTCGATCATAGCATTATTGACACTACAATCACGGTGAAGAATTCCACGTTCCTCGACCGCTGTCTGTTGAACTGAGAAACATGTCATTAGAACACAGAGCGGATCAGACATAAACAAATACATACTTTTGACGATGTCCCGAAGAGCGCTCACCAGCTCTACTCTTGTCCGGAATGCATGCAAAGGTCGTGCGCGAGGTTTCAAAACCAAACGAACATGCGTACGAGAGGTGCCTCTGATACTTCCAAAAACCTTGTATCGATAGTTCATCGTTTCGTCAACCTCGTTGGGCGCGATCTCGACAAGCCAATACTCGACCAGTTCTGGCACGCCACGGACCCCTCGCATCTCCCCCAGCATTTTAACCTCGTTCAACGCAACATCTTTACCCCCAAGGACCCAATGATCCTTGATGATGTATTCTTTACCATTCCTCCTGGCTAAATAGCACACGGTACCGCGCCCAACGAGCCCCTGACTCGAGAATATGAGTTCGAGAATATCATATGCATGGTCGTTGACTATGATCCTGCCGATCGGGGTTGAAAAAGTGGCACGAAGGGGATCTTGGGGTATTTCTAACTGAGGGGGGTCTATGGGGAGGCTTTCCTCATCCGACATCTCCGTGTTTGAGTCTGTCCCCAAGGCAGACTCGGGTGTTGCAGTGCCTGCAATTGGACTTCCTGCCTGGGGACCTTGTGCGGGTGGTCTGTTCGTAGAAGGGCGAGAAGTTGGATCTTCGAGTTGAGCGGGGCGAAGCGTCTTCGTAAATATACTGATGGAAGGATCATACCCAATACACTCAAGACTACCGAAGACGACGCTGGATAAGATTTGCAGGTAACGATTTGGAGCATTGTCGATATGGATAGGAGGCGTCATGACACCACCTGCATGGTCGTACATGTGGACTCGCAGTTCGCGATATCCATTGGTAAGGGAGCAAAGTAAGACAAAACGCCTCCAAGGTTGGCGTCTCAGTAGAAGGTAAGCCTTGTTGTCGATCGTCTTTCCAATTGTGCCTGTGGGTGTGTAAACTTGCGACGTCAACTCACAAACTGCTTTAATGGTATCCCAGCGAGCCTCCACGTCGTCCAACAACGCAAGGTCAGGCTTCCGCATGACTTCTTGATCCTTCATGGGGCGCACGGAGTTGCGTGCACTCCAAGTGCGAACGACTGCTCCGCTGTTTGCCGCCATAACTTCTGTTCGCTTCTTCTGGGCAACAGCAGCACATGTGATGTTAAAGAATGCCGAGAAGATATCTTCCAATGTGTGTGGTTTGGGGCTGTCATTGCCAGTAGTGCTGACCCCCGGAGGGTGTTGAGTTAATGGGCTCTCCCCACTCCCAAACTCCAAGTTTCCCCCGCTATTCTCTTCTCCATCTCCATCCTCTTCAAGATTGGGTAGTTGATCAATGCCAGATTCACGGTGCGACTTTGGAAGGGCCCAGTTCCATCTACAGTTGACGTCGTCATACAAGGGAACCATGGACTGTTCATCGAGGTGAGCAAATTTATCGTGTAGTCTGGAGTCACGATAACGAATTTTATGTAATGGAACCTGGAGCTCTGTGACGTCTGGGACTTCAAGGGTGAATGTCCTAAAAATCCGTGATAACATATAGCTGAGAGGCTGCTCAGCATCGGCTGATTCTTCTTCTTCAACGATTAAGTGATTAAGCTCGAGATCGGTGAGTTTATCCAGTGTAGGCACATCACTGACGCGAGGAGCCGACATCAGCGATGCTAACTTCATCCCAAAGTCTACAGTTTTACTGTGTTCTGCGGGTGCCATGATTTCAAGCTAGTGCCAGGTAAGAGCAACAATGACATTCAACAACGGAATACTGAAGTACATAAGTGTATCTTTTAGCCTACGAAAATGGTGCATATCAAGTATAGACTTGGTGCAAGTACTACTCGGATAGTGCAAAAAAGGTATGTTTGTCCCAAAAATAATTCAGCCAAAACTCCGTGGCGTGTTCCATGCTATTGTACGCCGTGAGACGCGTGTCCGCAGTAGTACCAAAACGAGGAATGAGATGGACAGGCGCTTTAAACTGAGAGACTGGAATGATGTCGCCCATCCGTGTACCATTAGAGCGTTTTGCTCTTTTCACTGTGTGCAATTGAGTGGTCGGATTGCGTTCACTGGAAATATCAAAACGTTGGACGTAAGTTAAGTACTGATCGTCCCATGCCCATTGTGTCTTGCTTTTGCCAACAGGGCGAATGATGAGCCTAATTTGCGCAATGGAGTGCCCTGCAGGGGATCATTATTTGGCTTAGTGAAGATTACCATGAAAAACAGAAAGAATGTACCTGAAAGGCCGCTGGCAGGCCAGGAGTGCCCTGAGCTGGTCTGAATGATAACTGTATCATAACGACCTAATGTCCAAGGGTCACTAGGCGGTGTGCAATTAAGCGTTTGAGCGGGTCGAATGATATGAGGATCGTGAAACTCAGTCTCCTGCAAACGAATTTTAAACCACACTTGAACTTTGTCAAACGGGAGCTCGGCGTCATGCGCAGCCCTTCTAGGACCACCTATCGAGTGAATGTGACTACCGTAGGTCGCTTCACAGTAAAGAAAATCAGCAATAGCAGGTCGCAAGTCAGGAAGGCCGAACATGATCGCAACTTCATCGACAGTGGTGTTCTTGATGGATGGATCGTAAGCGAGATGAAGAGCAGTGCGTCCGACGACAAAAGAACGAAGTGGGACAGGTACCGATCCAACTTCCTTCTGTTGGAGTATTTTGGCGATTGAAAAGTAATCCGTGATAGGACGAGGCTGTCCAGGTCTTCGAGTTGGGGATGGTAGCTCTGTGGGAATGACATCCGTGTAATAATCGATTTCGTCATCCTCCTCGACAAATTCCTCCCCAACAACTCCCGTGTCCTCCGAGTGATCTAACAGGCTTGTGGCGAGGTCAAATCGATTGCATTTATCAGCGCGATCAAGGTAACGACAGATTTGTGGGTCATAATTGTTGTTGTTGCTGGACCTTGCAGGGTCTTTGACCTCAGTGATGTGCGCATGTTCAGTGACATCTGCAGACCACTGTGCAATGACGCCGGAGTTGCGGATACTGGGGACGATACTCTGCATAAGTTCGAGTTTTGGAATATGCCAGTTGTCGATAACTTTACCACCTTTGCCCTGGCGGACACCAGCAGCAATGATCGCGTGCTTGTTCGCATGGAACTCGTCCAGTGTGGCTGTGATACGAGTAAGATCCCTATCATCAATAGACGGCGACTGCACAAGATATCGAAAGTGCATGAGTGCGCGTACAGCAACAACAACACCAGGAGGTGCTGCATCCGCGCTGACCGCGATAATTGACCGCTGGACGTCTCGGTGACAACGGCCTGTAACCTGCTTAAGTTTTGAGATACCTGTATGAAAGTGCCGATAACCAGTAGTGGGCTGAATGATTGAAAAACGAAAATCTATTTCAGACTTTCCCACTGCAAGGATAATCCATTGCGCATCATGGTCCCAAAACTCCTTGTGAATGTGGTGAAGCGATTCGGGTGTAAAAAACCGGGACGGTTCTGCTAGTAACCAGTCCCACCAAAATGGTTCATCCACGCCATTTAGGCGAAACTTCTGCGCCTCACGGAAAAATGCTTCGAGATCATCTGGACAAGCACGCGAGCGCACGATGTTCAATTGCTCAAGAGTTTTTGCTCGAGTCCGGGGTTCATGCTGGAAGGGATCCCCGAATTGTTTGTACATTGCTATCGTCACTGGAGATGTCTTTCCACCAACGCATGCCAGCATCATTGCCTCGGGGGTGTCAGCAATATAGCTAGCGAGCATAGTGAAGCAGTAACGACTGCGACCCATAGGATCTGACATCATCACGCCATTTCGAGCAGCGAGCTTCAACGGTTCGAGTACAATGTTCAAGCAATTGTGAACGAGCCGATCCTGCAACACGCCTCTCATTCGTTTGTTTTTGTGAACAAATTTTGTGACCGGTAGTAGGGCAGTGAGAAGGAAAGCGTTGGAGGATGATTTGACCCGCGTGGTCATGTAGATGTTGGCGAGGCTGATGAGGAGAGGGTGCGCGACACGATCGCCTGACAATGCAGTAATGCATGTCTTGTCCGACGATAGAATAGTTCCGAGGAGAGTTGCACCACGGGGAAGCACTGACTTCAAGAACAAATGAGATGATGACTTCAAGAGGGACTAATACATACCTGCATCTCCCAGGCATGATCACCCGTCATCCATTCGGTATATATCCGAGAGTGCCTCTGCGTTGTGCTATACTCCTTGCGAGACGTGTAGTCGAGACAATTGCGAAATAAAGGATGGTTGAATATCGTAGCGATACATTCAAGAGGATCCCGCCAGTAAAGAACAGCCGGAGACTTTGTGGGATGCAATGTTTGAATAACCTGGGACTTCCAACGCGGACCGCTAGGCAGCGATTCAGCTCGACCACGTAGCTCTTTTGCTGAATGAAAGGATAAAGGTAGGTCATCGATCTAAGTACCGTCTCAGAGAAGTGATCATCGCAATATTAAATCAAACACTGACCATCTCTAGCGCTAGAAAGGAATTTATTTTCTCCATGCTTAAGCCTGAACGCAGAAGCCACGCGGCAAGTCGCCATTCCCTCCTACCACTGAATGGATAGTAGAGATTTGTTTTGCGATATATACTGTTTTCATCAGCATCGAATAAGCTTAAAAATGTGTAACCCTCTTCGAAAGCCAGTGGGGGCTCCGGAAAGTAGTCAGTTGCTTTGATTTCACTGTCCTCGTCCCGAGTTCCACCTTCAGAGTCCAAATCCTCTCCTTGACTCCAAAAATCATAGGAACTCGCATCTACTTGAGGGTCATTGATGTCGTCCACCACCATGGGATCATGTTCTGTACTAGGTGGCAAGATGGAGTTGAGTTGGATTAAGTCGTCTAGCCAGCTATTACACCCAGAACGAGGTTGGCTCATATGACGAGCGACGGAGGTATGGTCCTTGAATTGCTTTCCGCACGATGGGCAATGACTTGGAACTAGTGCCATGGCGCTCAGGCGCTGATATTGATATCTCTGAGTCGCGGACTTAGCGAAACAAAATCAGATTTGAATTCGGCATTTTCCAGATACTGACATGTCATCCTCATCACTCAAGTTTAATATCGCTACTTTGCGATCACTGTCAGCACTTGCTTCCTGCCCTGATGATTCTTCTCGCTCCAATAACGAATACAATGAGGGAGCACCTTGTGGTATATGTGACCTATACGAAATTCTCGAAGCTGTAAATTCAATTGTGAGTCCATCCGAGTCGTCATTTCTGCCATTTTTCATCACACCTTATATTGGAATAGCCCGGAGTCCATGAACCAACTAACACCGAGGCAAGCCTTGTGCTGGATCTTGCAAGAGCCAAGCGCGATGTCTTCCTCACTCAGAAAGAGCTTGCAGACTGCGTGATACGGGAAAATGAGGTGTTTGCGAGCCTGCTCAGAGTCCGTGCAGCAGCAGCCGAGAAGATGATAGATCAGACAGATATTGGGCTGGGATGTATGAGAGTTGTTTTTAGAGACCACGGTTGGTCCCACATCCCTCCCAGTCGTCCGTCACAAGAACAAGGTCCATCAAGTTTGCGTGGTACGTGTGTCCTTTCTCTTGCAATATTGTTGATTCTAATGCTTCACACTTGGAAGGTTTACACGGGCGACGTTCTGGAATAATTCTTGATTGATTATTTGAGGTCTTGTATCATCATTTTGTGTTATGTTGTCCTTGTCTATATATTTGGTATTTCCATAGTTATGCTATGTAGCTTTGAGCCATATGTTCCGAATCAATTCTTGTCACACTTTTGTTCGAGTCCGGCTGAGCCTCAAGTCAAACAACTTTATAGTACTAGATTATGACCTTGGCCCTGTTTAACTGTGAGTCTTGTTTAGCTATGAGCGACTGTAATTGTTGTGTCGCTATGAACTGTGAGCCTGTGTGAACTGTGGAGCCTCGTGACTTACTGTTGTGAGGCCCCATGTGTGTGACCTCTGTGAGAAAGTTGTAGTTTACTGATGCTGGACTCTGTCGCACAGGGCCAAAACAATGTTTCGGGTCAAAAAACCCTTTGTGTTTTCAGCCCAAATAGCTTCATACATTCCTTAGTCACTACCTTTATGAATCAGACTACATTGTGCCAACAATTAATCTGATTTCTTTCATACCACAGAAAACTAAGAGCAACACATAGAACAATGTTTATCACGGCACATACATAAGTTCCCAAGGTCACGTGATAAGTCACGTGACCTGTGGGACAGCTAACCGACCACGACACGAAGTGTCTTATCATATTTTCTGTTCATGTTCATCCTGATGGTTCGCACATAGCCACAGGAGGATTAGATGCCAACATTCGGATTTGGAGCATGAAACCCATTCTCAACCATGCATCTGAAATGAGCAATCGACCACCAAAGTCTTTGTGCACACTGAGTATGCATACAGGTCCCGTCTTGACTATTAGGTGGGCACATTCTGGGAGGTGGCTTGCAAGTGGTAGCGACGACGAGATTGTGATGATATGGGACTTTGATCCGTGAGTTTAGTATATGATTTGGATGCGCTTCTGAAATATCCAACTGCGCTTCTCTCCAAATACAGGTCGGGTAGGGGCAAGGTCTTTGGTTCCAACGAAGTCAATGTAGAAGGATGGAAACCAATGAAACGACTTCCAGGCCACGAAAGCGGTGAATCGGGTTTACTCAGTCGTATTTCTATTTGCGCTAAACAATTGGCAGACGTTACCGACCTAGCATGGGCGCTGGAGGATCGTTATCTCGCCTCAGTTGGCCTTCATTCCGTCATTTTAGTCTGGTGTGGACATACCCTGGGTGAGCTGTATTTGTACTCTTGCTTGCACTGTCCGCAGCTATCGGTTTATTTCACACTTCAGTAACTGGTGCTTCCAAACGTCTTCGAGCATTTCTTTTTAGCTTCAGTAGTTCAGCGCAAGAGCTTCATTACTTACAGTACTTTCAGAACATCTTAGAAAGCCGGATTAACACCAAGGATTTGTCAAAGGTGTTTGTTGGGATCCTGTGGGCGAATTTATGGCCACTCAGTCCGACGACAAGTCTGTGAAAATTTGGAGAACGACCGATTGGCAACTCGAGGCAGAAATCAGAAAACCCTTCGAGGACTCTCCTGGCAGCACCTTTTTCCGCCGTCTTAGGCAAGTGCCACCAGTCACATTTATTTAATCGTTTTGTTACAGAGTTTTGCAGCTGGTCGCCTGATGGTGCTCACATCACTGCTTCGAATGCAACGAACAACAAAGGCTTCGTTTTCATTGCAGCAGTCATAACTCGTGGCACGTGGACTTCTGAGATCAGTCTGATTGGCCATGAGAATACAGTCGAGGTTGTGGTATGTGCTGATCATGTTGAAAGTGTTACCATTCTCATGCACGTTCTAGGTCTACAATCCTCATATTTTTCTCCGAAATCCCGCGTCACCTATAGCTACATCCAGCATATGCTCTGTAGTTGCTCTTGGCGCGGATGACAGATCCATATCCATCTGGCAAACAAAATCTGCACGACCTCTCATTGTCGCGCGTGAAGTTTTTGAACGACAGATCATGGATCTCAGCTGGTAAGCCTCTCTTGACCTTTGTTAAGAATCTGACTAATCTTTTGTGAAGGTCCTGGGATGGTCTGACTCTCTATGCCGCATCCTCGGACGGAACGATAGCCGTTTTCCATTTTGACCCCGAAGAATTGGAAGGCATTGCTCCTCATTCTGCTCAAGAGCAATATTTACACAAGTTTGGCTTTGTACCACCACCAACTCCAGAAGGATTCTCGCATGGCACCCACAGTACAAATGCTGCTTCAGCATCGAGGATCACGCCACCGCCTTCCCCAAACCGTGCCCAGTCGCAATCGCAATCTGGTTTTGGTGCATCAATTGGGATTAATGGTGCCAAGCACATCAACAAGCTCATTGCAAAGAAGAGCAATAAGAAGAGAGTACAACCCGTACTTATGTCATCTGTGCCTTCTGCATTGACATCACGCTCAGCCCTAGTATCAACTTCTGCGCTACCGCCTTCAGCAGGCCTCGGATCGCGTGCATTCCAAGTGCCAGAGATTCCCCGATCACGGCAGGCATCACACTCTACGTCACCCGTGCCAAGCCTACGAACTTACGACGCCGATATTGAGATGGGAGGACCAATGGACATGGATGTTCCCATCAATGCACTCGACACGAGTATGTCAAGTGCAAACAAGGGCAAACGGAAAGCGTCGGTCCTTGATACACCCGAAGATCGGCCGTCTAAGCCCCGTACTATCCTTGGTGGCGATCGACCAAGGGAAACAGTCGCAGTGCGAGAAATCACATCGACTGGTTTAGTCTCGACCCGCCCGTATCTATTTGAGGGTGCAAAAAATGCTACCTGTCCCTCCGCCGCTGACATTCTTGAGTGCCAATGTGGAGGGAAGCGACTTTGTCTTTGAGGCCCGAAATTCAGAAGGAGATGGTTCATAAGACCTTCAACTCGTTCCGGTCTAGCTGATGTTCCTTGCAGGGGCCACGGAAGTCACGTTTGCTGATGGAAAGCAAACATTATGGCTGGACTATTTACCATCTCCTGTGCTTGCGTTGACCGCATCCACAACATTTTGTGCGGCTGCTTCGCAAGACGGTTCTGTCAACGTGTATTCACACACAGGTCGCAGGTTTGTGGGAAAACAGAGGTCTCATCACTGTCTTAATCATGTTTGGCAGATTGATGGCGACTTTAAGCTGTGGGTCACCTTGCGCGATGATACACGGCTGCAAGTTGACATTGATGATACTCACGGCTTCTGGTCAGATGACCTCGATGTAAGTTGCACAACTTTCTTTATTCCATAGTGCTTACTCTGCTTAGAAATGTGAAGAATGTTGCATCCTTCTTTCCACCTACACCCGTTGCACCCCTCCTCTCCTCTTCGCCGAATTGCACGATATTGTCTGCCACTGTTTGACATAACGGCGCACCAATGATTCATTGCTCTTCCGGTATCGCGTATGCTTACGATGCCCAACTTTTCTCCTGGACAAAACTAATTGAGTGCTGGTGGGCAGAGGGCTCTGATGTATGGCAAGGTCATCAACGAGCGAACAAAGACAAAGACGTTGTAGCCTCCATTGAGGGTGCAATCGGCAGCACGAATATCTCGGCGCCTCACAAAGAGCGCCCCACATGATGGAATACGGCGCTCACACTCGGTCATCTGGAGAGCAAGTTGCATGCGGCCATGTGCTCCTGTTGTTCGATACGCCCCCGCTCTGGACTCTTTTCATGGATCCTGGACGCAAGCTAGTTATCTTTTTTGACCGCCCATACGTCATGTATTGCTCTCAAATTAGTCTATTGTAATCCTATTCATAATTGTCAGTATCGCAAACGGTGTTTTTCAGTGTTTCGAGGAGTAAAATATCAGTACCACGATCTTTGTCATTAATCCGATTTGAAAGTCAATGCTTCTACTCCCCACAGTGATGAGGCGCGGACCAGAGTCTGACTGTGTCGCGCCGTTAGTAAGTTAGTAAGCGACTTTCGCCGGTGATCGCCGGTGAGTCAGGACAAATTAACTTGACACAATTGCGCGAGGTATGCATACTTCAATAACCAAGACTTCAATAGCTAACTACTAGTAGGGTTTCGAAGCCTGTCATATACAAGTCTTGTCAGCGACTCTAAAGGTCACTCATGCGCCTCAGACTCGGAAGGCCCACACTGGTTGCACCTCTTTCAAGTTGGATCGCTGTTCTCTTGTTTCTATTGCTCATTATGGTGTCATGTGACGCTCCAGGTTGCTCTTGGGGGAGGAAAACAGACACCCGAGGACTCAGCAAGCATCGCGCAAGTTGCCATTTCTACAAGAAGTCCAGCATTCTCTCAAGCCAGAAGAGACAGGAACGCGCAAAAGAGGCAGTTTCTGCAAATGCGGTTTTACACGTGAATAATTTTCCTAGCTATTCAATTTATCTTTCACTCATGTGAACATGACTCGGGAAATTCAGAGAATCGGCCATCCGAGACCAATCGCTCCTCGCCGATCACTAGCAGCGCCGAGGCCACTGGGGTCTGCGGCTCGCACTTTATTCAATACATCTGGTCTCTCTCACTCGCAGCACTCCTCTGACCAAGAGAGTCTACAAAAAAATCTTGATGTTGATATGGAAATTAATCCTGAGCACAATGATGACTTGCGTTCGTAACTGATCATTGAAACTATCATCAGTTTTCGCCTGCTCACTCGACTCTTTCAGAGGAACCGATAGTACACCCTGTGAGACGAATTCCAAGACCTTTCGACGACATTGAGTCCTCACAGGAGGATCTTAACCACTCCGATGGCGCTGACGAGGCCCTGAGTCCGTCGACTCGAGGTTCGGACCTCCCGGCGGGATCTAGAATCCGACGTGTTCTTCTGACACTAAGAGACACACTCCAGACGACATTCAACTCGTTTGGCCTCTGCTGACTATATCCTCGCCGTCCTTCATTTGAGCTGAATAATTTCATTCCGTCCTCGCTACTTGCGCGAACTTGTCCAACAGCTATTCAAAGTAATGATTCTCCATCGAAGCTCTTTGCACCACCGTTCCCCTTTCCTAATATGACTATCTACCGACTTCTAACCTGGATGAATTCTGGTGGTACTCGAGTATCGGAAACTAAAGTCGCGGATCTCGTCAAAAATGTGATGTTAGCGGAGGATTTCGACCGCGACCACCTTCGGGAGTTCTCTGTGAGGCAGAGCTTGCGAGAACTTGACAAAGACGAGAGCGGGAAGGGAATTACTTTTCCAGACGACTGGATCGAGACTGACATTACCATTAACATCCCAACTAAGTCGAGGGATGATAGCCCTATGCCCTATACCATTTCCGGATTCCATTATCGACCTCTTGTTGAAGTTATACGTGCGGCATTCACAGACATTCAAGCAGGAGCATTTCATCTCTTCCCTTTCAAACGTCTGTGGAAGGATCCTCTCGACGGTCACCAAGAACGAATATACGATGAATTATACACCTCTGATGCCTGGCTGGAGGCTCAGGATGGTATCCACAAGCTACCAAGGGAGTTCGGGTGTACATTGGAACGTGTCATCGCAGGACTGATGTTCTTTTCGGATGCTACTCACCTGGCAAACTTCGGCACTGCGAAGGCGTGGCCGCTTTATGTCTACTTCGGAAATCTGACGAAATACGTGCGTTCGTCGCCTACCTCAGGTTCATGTCACCTTATAGGATTTCTACCTTTGGTAAGCCCTCCTAATTTCATGTTTTTCAACGCGGGGGACGTCAACTGCCATTTCAGATTCCTGATAGTATCAAAGATGTTCTGAGTCGCCTACCTCGAATATCGAAAACTGGCATAGGCTCTCTTCATACCTTCTGCCGCAGAGAATTGTTCCATGCCTGCTGGGAGATCTTGCTGGATGAAGAGTTCATTTACGCATATCAGCATGGTATCGTTTCGAAATGTGCCAACGGAGTAATGCAGAGAGTATTTCCTCGAATATTTACCTATTCAGCGGATTATCCTGAGAAGTACATTTTCATTGCCTCGATTAAAATTGTTGGATAACTTCATAATTTTCCAGGGTTTTAATCGCGACTATTAAGAATATGGGCTCGTGTGCGTGCCCTCGCTGCCTCACACCTAAAGGCTCGTTCAATTGTCTTGGTCTCATGAAAGACATGAAAAGCCGTATCACCAACCTTCGAGTGTATGTTACGGCGAAGGTTGCGAAGGCTCGCGAATTTATCTATACAGGAGGTCATACTGTAGATGGTTCCAAAGTCGAAGACACCCTCCGAGAAGGTTCCTGGGTGCCTATTCTGGTAAGGGCGGTTTCATGTTAGCTTTTGATAAACTCAAACTTGCATTTGCAGAATCAATTCGTCAAGCAGCTTGGTCCGCTCAGGCTTGATCCATTTCGCATGCTGGTCGTTGACCTCATGCATGAATGTGAATTGGGTACCTGGAAAGCATTATTCACCCACTTGATCAGACTACTTAATGCCCTTCCTGGGGGTACTCAGCTTGTTGCGATCCTCGACTTCAGGTGCGCGAATTTTTTTCGGATGACCATTATCTCCTGATGTGCTACTGACCTTTCAATCTTACCTTAGATTTCGCCAGGTGCCGACGTTTGGTAATGGGGTAATTCGAAAGTTTGCGGATAATACGTCCGAGATGAAAAGGTTGGCAGCTCGTGACTTCGAGGATATATTACAGGTTTTGTGTTACCTTTCTACATTACGCTCTCTGACACGCCCTCCAGTGCACCATTCCAGTGTTTGAAGGTCTGTTCCCCGCTGAGCATGATGGGGCGGTGCAGTCTTTGCTATATCGGTTTGCGCAGTGGCATGCGCTCGTTAAACTTAGGATCCACTCCGAGTCTACATTAAATTTTCTTGAAGAGACATTCAAACAACTCTCCCACAAGTTACGGAAGTTTCGAGCCCACACCTGCGCTGCCTTCAGCACCGTAGAGCTGCCAAAAGAGAAAGCAGCTCGCCAGAGGAGGTTAGCTCAGCGCGCAGAGACACATAACGCCACTTCCGAATCGACTGGGGCAAGAGCAAAGAAGTTCAATTTAAATACATATAAATTTCATGCTATGGGAGATTATATGAGAACTATCAGGTTTTTTGGAACCACTGATTCTTTCACTACCCAAATCGTGCGTATCTGCTCGAGTCCTGCTAATATGCAGCTGAAGTTCTTGGTTAGGGGGAGCTTGCGCACCGAGCTCTGAAGGCGTACTATCCACTCACCAGCAAAACAGATACTCCAGCGCAATTAGCCAAGCACGAGCGCAGGCGCTGCGTGCTACAGCGGCTCGCAGCAGGGGGTATAATCCCCTCCACTAGTCAATCACCAGACAAAGTCCCACCCCCCGGCAAGCGTTATCATATCGCAATGAGCCAGAATCAACCAGTCTCTCTATTCGGATTACTTCGAGAAAGTGATAATGATCCAGCTCTCAAGGTAGACTTAGCATCGCTTTTTAATGCTCCTTACTCATGCAGTTATCAGAAGTTCATCCCCAAACTAAAGGACCACATCCTTTATAGGCTGCGGAACTTAGATGTCAGCTACTGTGACCATATCTTCACAGACGAAGACCGACACTCCGTTATCATTCCTAATAATACGATCTATTCCGTCCACACCATGCAAGTACATTACACCACATATGACATGAGGCGCGAGTACGACACTATCAATCCTAGAACGCATGCCGATGTCATGGTGCTTTCAGGGGAAACGAACCCTAACCACCCGTACTGGTACGCCCGCGTTCTCGGGATTTACCATATGGAAGCATGGCTGAACAACGAGGGTCGACCTGTGAAGCACCATCTTGAAGTTCTGTGGGTTAGATGGTTGGCTCCGTTGCGGAACAACAAATCTGGCATGAAGCATGCTCGTCTTCCCAAGGTTGCCTTTGTGGAGGAATCGGATACAGATGCATTCGGATTTCTTGATCCAGGGCAAGTGATCCGAGGAGCGCATTTAATTCCAGCCTTTGCTTCGGGGCGTGGTGTAAGTTCCCTTCGTCACGGAAAATCATTGGCGCGTCCTGGAGAAGAGTTAGACGACTGGGAAGCGTACTATGTTGGCATGCGAGTGAATTTATTCTCAAGCATATCCTCTATTAACCTTTAACCAGATTCGTCGATCGCGATATGTTTATGCGCTATACTTACTTCAGTGTTGGACATCCGGCAATCCTGCGAAGGATAACCAGAGACTGTTTTGATGACTCAGTTGCACGAGGCGACAGCACAAGCATCATCAATAATAATCACGAGGCAGACGTGGCTTACGAAGAGAATAGTGACAGTGGCGATTATGAAGGATGCGATGATGAGGACGAAGAGGCAGGGGGTGAACAGTTTAGTGATGAAGAACTGGAACTTGAAGATGAGGAAGATGAGCTCGAAGATGGCTCGGACGTGGTGGATGGAGATGAGGACGATGACGATGACTTCCTATCTTTTTAAATTCCTTAAGATCAACACAGGTCATGGGATGCTTGAAATATGTTAGCCGCGCGGCTAAGTGATCATCAGTTGTACTTGCAAGTCTCATAGCATCTCGCAAACCTCCGAGTCATCCGATTGAAAACCCATCATTAAGTCACTGGTGCTGGCCCGGGAGCTCTCGTCGCTAGGTACGCGCTAGGTACGATATATAGTGTCCTGACTGGGACCCTTGCTGGAACTTGAAGATCTCAGCCCACGCGGCATTTGCCGAAACAGTATCACCCTTACCATGTAAAAAACTCATCGTCAGGACCGTATCTCCAAGTTGGCAGCCAAACAGCGGTACTACCGGATCAAGGCTGGCACGTCCATCAGAGTCGGCTTAACGGGTCCTGAGCATAAGTTCCAGCCTGGCTCACGAGTGAAACTTGGAGCTGCGGCAGCAGCAGCAATAAATGATACTGACTCGGAACAGTGGCAACGCGCTCGCCGCCCGGCCGATACCGCACTGTACTAGTAGGACTCGGATTTTTTTGGGTATGTCTGTTGGGGTCGCTCAAGCCAATTGATAACTTATTTATTCTGCTCTTCATTCATCAGAAGAAACTTTGCATCCTCTGAGGTGCCGCATATCATGTCCGAGAAGAAGCTGTTGCACTGCCTTATGATCTGCCAGTGGCAGTGACAGAATGGCTTTCACATATTTTGGCATACAGTGTGGAAACCATGCCGATAGACAGGGAGACTGACGAAGCAGAGCCACACAGATGCATTGTTCTCGACTCTTATAAAGAATTCAATAATATCTCGCTACCATCGAATCCCGTACTGCAGACGTACCTCTGGTTTTCAACGCATCCTTTGAGATGCAGGCAGTCATCTTGTCTTGACCCCCATCCAACTTCAAAATCAGCATGACTACTACAGCCCTTATTCTGCGAATATTGTCATCACTGTAGAACCCTCACTGCGTTCATACAACTGATTTCATCATCGTCACACCTCCTCGTCACTTAGTTCTGCTATCGACTTCCTCCTGCACCATCCACCCGTGACGTCCGTCCTCGCTCAGGCAGCTTCGACGACCCTTCTTATTTTATCGCACAACCCAGTCTCATTCCGAACTACCATGTAGTGGATATCGTGAATATGACCAGAGTCCCCCTCTTGGTAAGTTCCCTCCCATACTACCTTTCTATCTCCTCACATTCCTCAGGCTACCCCCATGTCACACGGAGGCAACTCTGTTGAGTTAACTGTGCTGACATTCAGGCACTATTGCGTACCCTGGACTCAGTGGTAATATCCCATCCATGTTGTCTCTGATACCTTCCTGATAATGTTTCAGGTCTGCACCCATAAAGATTGAGGACATAGGTTTTATTCACCTTCGCGTTCGACTCCCAGACGATGACATGGATGTAGTGAAGGCTGATGTCGTGATTGATGGATCCACGATATTCGTAATACTGTCTGCTGCGGAAAATGATTCTTCGTTATTGAGAACGACAGCGATCTCTCTGTCTCCATGATACAATGCGTATGAGTTTCCTCACTCCCTTGCACCTGAAAATATCAATGTTGACTCCACAGGATCCAAAGTATGGTGATACCGACATGGTGAAATCATCCACCCCATGATGCAAGTTAGCACCTCACTCAAGCGTGCCACATGCCTAGGACCAGCTTGTTGTCAGGGACAGGAAGAGCATGCTCCCAATAAATGATGCTTCCCGCACTGTAGACATCATGGAAATCGGTGTTCTCGTGCCATTCAACTTCCATGTACCTTTAACTTCTCCTTAAGTCTGATTAGTTACTGACGCGCAACCTAGGGTCGCAAAAGGACCCGTGCTGTTCCGTTGGATGTAAGAGCAAATGGACACCAGCAGATATTACGCATCACACCGTTATGTTGATGAGCATAGCCTCTACAAGCCGAAAATTCACAGTTGGAGCACCGTGTCACGGTCTGACACCATGACCAGCAGCACCGAAGGTTTTGAGGCGATCATGGAAGACGTCTCTCCGACATTCTCAATCAACGTGGAGTTCGCGGCAATAGCAATATTGTTGGTTAACCACAGTATGGTCGAAGTTATTCATAAATCCATCGAGTCTTTGAAGTTCGAGTACAGCAACAGCTGGTCTTTGAACCTGTCCTGTGGCTCACCACAGATAAACAACGAGCTACATTATGTGCTGTACCCAGTCATTCTCCAGCCTAGCCCAATATCCAAGGAAGCCGATAGTGTTTGCAGTTCTCTCGATAATACAGGATTCAGTGATTTTGCTCGAAGATCAAAGTCAGCAAAACTCTTTTTTTTTAGTTCCAAAACCGCACTTAGACTGAAAATTCAGAACACGGTGTCTTATTTGTCAAGTATTGCTCTACCCACATGCAGCCGTTGTTGGAGGAGACGAAGCTATACTTTTCGCCATAAATGATCTTACACAAATCCAGGGCGTCTCATGGGAGGAGAACTGAGTATAGAATTTGATACCAAGGCCGGCTATGCACTAACTATTTCTTTTCAGACTCGGCATTCGATGAATCAGCGGCCCAATGGCCTGCGCCATGATTTGAGTACCCCACTGAGTCACCACGTCTTCTTCCAAGACCGTAGGTCAGTTCTGATCGACTCTTAAGTTTATTGATCAAAGAGCTTACCATCAATCCGTTCGCATTTTCTTCAACCCCAACATATTCAACAACCAACTTCCACACCTCGACACGATTCCGACATTTCTTGGTACGGGTCTCCGCGCGATCTTTACCCTCTTCCTCGTCGCCGCCCTTCTCTCTACTGTCCTTCTCTCCACTGTCCTTCTCTTGGCTTCTACCTCCATCCAGACCATAGTAGCACTGATGGTCGACTCAAGAGTCAGCGTCCGTAATAATATTTGGATCACTTACCGTATCCTGCGGTCCCACATACAATAAGTGTTTCGATTTCTCTTGGACGTTTGGATGCTGATGAGTCTGGTCGAAATTGATAGGGTTTCCTTTTTCAGCGGCCCATACGAATTATGTAAGCCCGAACATCAACTTTGGGCCCGGGAAAACGGACAATCAGTGTCCTGCTACTGTTCCTGGAGCTGCAACATGCGGGAACTTCTGTGACCATTAGGTTAGTAGTTACTTTCGTTGCCACCACTGAGTCAGTAACTAAAGACGCACTCGTCTGTTCCTGAAGGTGGCTTTCGCTCTCCGTGACTCGAACGATCTCGTCATCCATGCGAAGCATATCAAAGACGATTTACCTATCCTCCAGCTCATTCCAAGCCACAAATTCGTGAACGACCTGCCGCGCTATGTTATTCATGCAACCCCATCGTTTCACGGGCAAGCGGTTCACCCAGACCTTATACCTGACTACGTGACATCTCTGGAGTCACAAATCATGGTTTTGGAGGTCCTGTCGAGCTCATGGCAGGTAATTCTAGTCGTCAATATGGCCATTTTTGCAACAAACGCCACACAGTCAGAGATACCTGTTGAGATTCCTTGGTCAGAGTGGGGCCCCAAGTACACACGCTACTTTCCGCATCATCCAAGCCACCGAATCAGCGTGTTCGGCAGCAAAATGGCACATGCTCTGCCTCAGGATCGTGCTCCTGAACCTGGACAAAGATTGGAAGAACTCCCTGTAGAGGGTTCCTTCTATGTACACATCTGGGACTTTAATAGAGCCATTTCTCGCTTAGAACATTCGAATAACGTCTACAATTGCAATTCACCAGGTCGTCTCATCTGCAGGCCTGGTCGGCTGGCTCAGACATGCTTCACAGAAGACGATGCAGACATTATCACGAATCATCCTTACACTACTGCTGTCTGCCCCGCGGGTTTCTCGACACGTCACTTTGACTGGTTTTTTTTGGAGCAGGATCGACTTACTTTGATATGGGTAAGCGTTCTTGGTATCAATACAGGAAAGTTTCAAAGTGATTGAATTATAGGCTCACCCTGGCTCGGTTCAGATTCAGGTCGTTTCTCCCTCACCGATAATGCCAACTTCCGAAGTTGGCTTGGATGTTGAACAAGGCCAAATAGCTCACAGCCCAGAGCTGCAGCAGACGATTCAGGTCGTTTCTCCCTCACCGATCATTATGCGCCCTACGAGAACGCAGAGCAAGATTCTCCTACTTTTTTCTCCTTGCCTCTCTTCACCCCTCTGCGTTACTAAGCCACACCCGCCTCGGACTCATCGCAAGCATGTTCGCCCAAATGTGCGATGCAGTCACCGCATACCATGACCAGCGTGCAGCCCGGCACACTATCTTGCAGCCGTTCAAGCGCTCCTCGAAACGTACAAGTTCGAGATCACATTTCGACACCTGTGAGCATCATTGACACTTTCTGTATCAATAGACTTAGCATCATGCATCTTTGTAGCGAAATCCAACGCCTGTAAACCAACATACATGGGAACATCCCCTTTCATAATATACTCTGTGATGTAAAAGACAGCAGCTTTCGCTGCCTCTCCCGACCCAATAAATTGCGTGTCCGTGTTACATTGCAACAAAAACAATACCCAGTTTGTAAAGTTGTTCACGCGACCCCGCCACTGACGAAGTTCGATCGAGCCAGTCTCTACATCTAACACTATTTTCTCTTGCACTGTGCCATCAAGCCGCATTCGACAATTTGCATCCCCTCTCTTTTCCCCCATACTTAAGGTGCTTATAGCAGGTGTCGTTATGCATGTTACACCATTGCGCCTCGTATGCTCCGACGTCGCTGCACCTCAACCTCGCTTTTGAGTCACACGGCCCATTAAATTCGGCAGGCATTGTAAAACCAACTTTCCATTAGAATGCTTTATATAGCCATAGAACCGATACTTTACATAAGAGAAAGGGAGAATAGGCTCTCAAATCGTGGCCACTACGCTACCGTGACTTGTATGTTTATGATGCTGCTATACTTCAACTCCGTCATTGATGTGTCTTGTAAGTTTAGATCTGGGGGGTGTGTATGAAAAACCAAGATTTCTTATGGAATATATAGATATTTAGGAAAAGCATCTCTACAGGTCTCATGGCAACACTCACAAAACATACGAACTGGACGCTCTTAGTCCTTACAGGCAGTGATGGCACAATAACACAACATTGTCATAAACTCGCGTGCTAATTTAGTTTTGCTGACCAATGCGAACACCGCTTTCCGAGAGAAAGCCTTGAATAGTCATATAATTTATGACATAAATATTGAAGAATGAGAATGCTCGACAAGGGGGACATACTTACGCTACCATCTCTTGCCGGCCGTCACGCTACGACATCACAACCTTATCATAAACTGCTCGCGATAATCTAGATTTGCAGACATGAATGGCTATGTGCCAACAACTCAGATTTATCACAGTATATATTGCCATAATTCTTAAAGCCAAAGAATGGTGCACGGGAACACTCAACAAAGAGACATACTTTACCCTACAATACCTATTAGACTGCGACGGTGCAATGTCACAAGATTGTCACAAACTTTCATGGTAATCAAGATCTGATGATCAATGCTCGTGTCGCTTTCCACGAGAAAGCCTTACATAGTAATATAATGCAAGACACAATTTTTGAAAAATGAGAACGCACAAAATAGTTGGAATAGGTATAATAGCACTCCTAACCGGTTACAAAGGAGGGATGTCACAGCATTGTCATGGGCTGTTTATGTTGAGCCGGATTTGCAGGCATTCATGTGTATGTATGTACAACTCAATTTGCCCACAGTATAAAAGATAATATTTGGTGAGAGCAGAATTAGACCGTGCTATACTTCCCACGGCTACAATATCAAGGACTCATCTGTTCTCTGATGGTCGTTGTCCTCGTCATCAATGTGGTCTTCAGGTCAGCGAGACTCATGGTCTGTTGACTCATCCGACTCGGAGTCATCAGATGGACTCAAAGTCGGAGCTGCTCGATAGTAGTAGAGGCGGATTAGTCTTAGTATACAATCAAAAGACTAGACACATACCTGTAGTAGTAGCCTTGCACATGGCACTGGCGTTGCGCGACACTGGGGGTATTTTACCAGCACTGAATGTCAGTACCTTTGATTTGGACCGGGACAGCTTGGACACCATGTCGCAATCTGAGAACTAAATAAAAAATTTAATCAGTGATTATTCTGAGTTGCATCAAAGAAAACGGGTGAACGTACCATATTTTCTTCTGCCCTATCCATGTCGCTACGCAGCTCAGATGGCTCTTCCTCGAAGCCATCAGGATCAGCATCGTAAGCAGCCCTCAGTGCTTTTTTCTTCTGTTTTTCTATCTTCTTTTCCTTGGTTTCTTGGCGATAGGTGACGTGCTGAGACTCAGAGACTGTAGAGTCACTAGTGAGTGAGACGTTCTCGCTCAATATTGTCAGGGCTTACCACGGTAGTTTTCTTTTTCAGTCGGGCGTCGCTGTCGACCACTTGCGGTGCGTGTAGGTGGTGGTACTTGTTGCGCTGGTTGCGCGTCCTTCGATTTTGCGTGCTTCGAGGCGACCTTGCGACTGGTAGCCATGGTTGTCTGCAAGGGAACATTAGCTCACGGTAAGCTGATTTTATAGCGCTATGAAAGACATAAACAAAGACATCTAAACCTTGAATTTTTTTGTTGATTTCAGGGCGTGTAAAGTTCAGAGCTAAAGCTGTGATCAACAGACAGAAAATGATAAAAGCAGCGAGTGTACCGTTACTGCAGTGCAACATTTCCCTACCATGGTTATCTCAGTCTACAAGCGGTATGTAGTCTGCATCAAACACTCACCGGCGTGCTCTGACAAATTGTATAGTACAGTGTCCCCAGCCATAGGCGACAAAACCGCTACCAGTAAAAATGGAAATATTATTGTCAAAAGGTTAGTTGCATGTCTTCATCACAGCCCCAATGCTCACCGGCTTGCAGGCCAAAGCTCGATGAGCCTATGTATCCACTTCCTCTGCCGTTTCGCCAAACGCCCAGCCCTGTCATGGTTAGTCAGTCCTACTTGCAAAAACTAATTACAGAGCGTTGGGAGGCGGAATTGAAGAATTGCGAGCATGCAAAAAAGTTGCAGCTCTTGGAAATGGTGCCGGGTCCAGCTCTTACCTTACTGCAAGCAAACTTGCGAAGACTCATTGTAGAGCGCTGGGAGGCAGAAGTGAGGCGCTGTGAGGAGGCCAAACGGGCGCAACTGTTCGAATTAGTGCTTGCCGCCCATGGTATATCGAGACTAGTGTAGTGTGGCGCAGTAACCAGGGCAGGGCCTGCACAGGCCTGAAGTGCGCACCAGATTGGTGCCTCCACGAAAGGGTTAGTTACAGGGCCTGCCTTGAAAAAAAACTCATTAAAAATATTACGAAGTTAGAAAGCAACCTCGGAAACACTCACCATAGAGCAATCTTCGCTGTTCTCAAGTCGTACGACCTTGATGTCATCCGTTGGATCCTCCGTGACAGGCCTGAAGCGTGCAAACGAGTTGGATCCACCATGACAGGTCTGAAGCGCGCAAACAAAAGTCGTCTCCAAGAGTCATCTCCAAGGGTAGTGTAGTGTGTACGAAGGCTAGAACAGAGGTCTCAGCGTGATGTTAGGACAACGCTATAGATGTATTCAATACCTAGAACGGAGGTCTAGATAGTACATGAGTGAATATGAGTATGTGCGAGAGAGCTGCTAAATGGTACTCACCTCAGCGTGATGTTAGGACAACGCTGAGGTGAGACGACGCGAACGGCGCTACTGATATACGAACATGGCGAATCTGTGGCTGAGTGTCGAAGGTGGTACTGTATAGTACGTAGCACAAGGTCCAAAGAGATAACTAGAGATAAGACACCGGTAGCATATGCTGCTACTGGTGACAACGATACCGGTGCAGAAGAAATGGACGTACAATTACCAAACATACAGATCAAGAAGCAAACGACGTCATATCAAACATATGAGACATATGGGCAAGAAGGACGGAAGTGGAATGACGTATGACCAACACACCCCCTCACCGAGACACCAGTGAGAGGTTCGAGACGTGCTTCAAAAACAAAGGCCGTGGAAGAGGCTTCGTGAAGATATCCGCTGCATTACGGTGAGAGGGCACCCATTTGAGCAGGAAAATGCCCTTGTCAACGTATTCACGGATGAAGTGGTAGCGAATGTCGATGTGTTTGGAACGGATGTGGTTTTTGGCCTCGACGGACAGCGAGATGGCTCCGGTGTTGTCCATATAAATGACGATGGGAGTGACATAAGAGATATGGAGCTCGTTGAAGAGCGAGTGCAACCACAAGCCCTCCTGAAAGACGTGCGTGACGGCCATATATTCAGCCTCTGTCGAAGAAAGAGCGTGCGTGGCCTGCTTCTTCGACGCGTGTGCGATCAGACCCCCGGCATAGTACCAAGCGTAGCCGGAAATAGAGAGACGGTCTTCTGGGTTGCTGGCCCAGTCAGCATCACAGAAGGCGTGTAAGCCCTCATCGACGCGCTCACCCCCATAAAGCATGCGAACGTTGATGGTCCCGCTAAGATAGCGCAAGAGTCGTTTAGCAGCAGCATAATGATTGAGGGATGGGTTTGCGTTGTGTTGCGCAAGGGAGTTGACGGCGAAAGAGATGTCGGGTCGAGTGCAGATGGAAAGATAGAGCAACTCGCCAATAAGCTTGCGATAACGCGAAATGAGGTTAGGGATGACATCATGCGTGTCAGAGGGTCGACCAAAGGGGTGATTGGCATCTAAAGGAAGGAGCACGGGATTGCAGTCGAGCATTCCGTACTCGTCAAGGAGGTGGCTAATGTACTCGGCCTGATGCATCCAGAGGCAACGTCCTTGGCGATGTCACTCGAATTGAATACCGAGGAACTTTTGCACTGGCCCCAAATCCTTTATACCAAAATGCTCGTTGAAACGGCTCTTGACCCAGCGAAGAAAGGGAGGGGTATTGGAGGTGCCGAGTCCGTCGTCGACATGAAAACCGACGATGCAGATGACGCGAAAATTGCCGTCGTGGACGCGGTCATAAATGAAAACTGCATAATCTACGGCGCACCGTGTGAAGCCTAGTTCAGCCATCATTGCACAGACCTCCTCATACCACTCCATCGCAGACTGTTTGAGTCCGTAAATTGTGCGCAGCATGCGCCAAACGAGAACCCTCCAATCCCCATCTTCAAAGCCCTTCGGTTGCCGCATATAGATCTCCTCCTTGAGGGTGCCCCAAAGAAACGCACGCCTCGCATCAAAGTTGTCTAACTCCCAATTGTTCTTGCAGGCGAGGGCGGAAATGAGTCGAATGGAGGATGTTTTGAGGACAGGAGCGAAGGTGGCCCCGAAATCAACGCCAGGGATTTGAGAAAAGCCTTGCGCAACCAGGCGCGCTGTAGAAACAACAATACAATGAGGAACAAGGATGCTCCTAACTGTATCTATAAAATGTTGTGAGGTCGCGCGTTACCTAGTCTGCTATTCTTGAGGAGACAAGTGCGTTCGACCCTAGGGGAAGCGAGTGCTGCGAAGATCTAGAGGTACGCGCTTCAGCGAAGCGTGAGAAAGCGCAAGTGCGCGCAAGGTACGAAGGCGCGGGAACGCGCGCGCGTATTAGCGCGAAGCGCGGGAAAGTGCGCGCGCGTAAGCGGAAATAAAAGAGACTAAGCTTAAGTGATGATATAAAGCAATATAAGAAAAGATAGATGCAAAGTGTAGACCAATAGACTTCTACTATGTACTGCTAAGTAAATAGTGGGTGATAACTAGTAAGTTCAAGGGAAAAAGTAAGGTGTGAAAGGTAAGTAATAGTATGTACTGCTGGCGCTTATATAGCGCGCCTAAGCGCGGTCAAGCGGAGCCGAAGCGCTACCGAGTAGGTATGTAAAAATATATATATGAGTGAGAATGCATGATAAAAATAAAGGTGGAACTATGCTAATAAAGGAAATGGAAATATACGCACTAGGGAGCTTGGTGGACAGTGGATGGATGCTTCTGGATGGCTGGCGCCATAGGGCGCGCAAGCGCGGGAACGCGCGCGCGCGTATACATCGTGAAGCGCGGGAATGGTGCGCGCATGGCGCGCGTTGCGCGGGAAAGCTGCGCGTCATATAGAGATAGCTGTGGGTAGTGCACAGAGTGACGCTACAAGTTCGTGCTATGTACTTCCTAGTGTAAAGCACCATATCACGCCATGAGAGGCATAATTCTCTACAGCGCTTTATACTTAGAACCCCCCTTGTTGTCCTGCTTAAACTCTAGCACCCATCTGTTTCCAATTGCCTTGCGCCCCGCCAGTAATGGTACGACACGGTAAACTTCCATCTCCCTCATGATTCCCAACTCTGTCTCCATGGCAGCGAGCCAGTCGTTCCTGTCGGGGCGTAGCATAGCTTCATCATACGTTGCTGGAGGCACGTTCATATCGTATTCCGGGCTGGAAGGGTTGCGTCGACGATCACTCCTGATGCTGATGTGGGCGTGTTCCTCGATGAGGAGGTTAGCAAAGGCGTCTGGGACATCAATGTTCGGCTCAATTGCGGAAATGTCGACACTTGGGAGGTCAGGTGCAGTAGGTGGTGCGTTAGTTGTAACGTCAATGCTGGTACGCACCGCACCCTCTGCTCGAGCTAAACGAGTCTCTCGAAGTGTTTGCAGACGGGCCTTGGAGGTGGCAATTTCCTCAGCGTATGCCTGGCCAGCGGCAGTGGCAGTGCGAGAGCGAACGGAGCGTCGTGGAATGTGTGGAATGGGAGTGAGAGATGCTGGTGAGGCTGGAATGAGTGCAGTGACAGGGGTTGGTGAAGTAACGGATGAGGGCGAGCTTTGAGTGCGTTCTACTTCATCGTCTTCCAAGTCACTATCGTTCAGATGGGCGAGGGAAGGAAAATTTTCGTCAAAGATGATGTCCCTCGCAATAAAGAAGGTCCCCGTGTCCTTGTCACGAAGTCTGTAGCCCTTGACACCTTCAGGATACCCTAGAAAGATGGCCTGGCGCGAGTGGGGTCCAAGCTTTGTTTGCAGCTCGGCTGGAATGCGTGCAAAGCATCGCGAGCCGAAGACACGTAGGTGAGAAAGGTCGGGCTTTCGTTTGTTGATGAGCTCGAAAGGCGTGACTCCTGCCGGCAGTATGCTGGACTCACTTCTGTTCCACAGATAGCAAGCGGTAAGTGCTGCCTCCCCCCAGAACGTTGCGGGGAGCTGAGCTGTTTCCAGCATGGCAAATAACCGACCTTCAATGGTACGTATCGCGCGTTCGGCTTTCCCGTTTTGCTGATGAGCATAGGGAGCCGAAAGTTGCTGCGTGATCCCTGCAACGGCCAGTGCCTCTGAGAAGGCTGCACTGATGAACTCGCCTCCGTTATCAGAGCGGAAAACCTTGACGGTACGTTCAGCGTGATTCTCCCACTTCCTCTTGATGAGCGTCCAAGCTTCTAAGGCCTGGTCCTTGCTGGCTAACAACTGCAGATTGAGGAGATTCGTGTGATCGTCGAGGAAAATGATGAAGTGTATCTTGCCGTGTGGGGTTGCAGTAGGGAAAGGACCGCACAGGTCTGAATGAATGAGGTCCAGCATGCGTGCTGCCCGTGGAGTCTCAGAGGACGGATAGGGCTGCCGAGGATGCTTGGCCATTACGCATGGTTCACAGCGCTGTAAGGCAGTAGAGACGTTCACCTTAACTCCAGTCGCACATGTGGAGAGACGTTTGACTGCGTCTCCCCCGGGGTGTCCCATCCGCGCGTGCCACAAGTCCCAAGACAAAGGAACGTGGGCAAAGGCAGAAATTTCTTCTGGGTCTTTAGTACGAATAGACAGCGAATCTGGAGTAAGGAACTTTAGGTCGATGAAGAAAAGGTTTCCGATCATCGGGAGACTGCCGAGTACATTGTTGCGATGGACCAGCTCACAGCATGCTGGGTCTGGTTTAAAGTTGCACCCCCAGCCCTTTTGCAACATGTGGCCGACAGAGAGTAGATTAATGAGCGCACCAGGTGCGTGAAGGCAGTGTGTGAGATGAACACGGCTTACTTGGCCGTTGATCCTAAGTTCGGCTATGCAATCACCGCGACCCGATGTGGCAAGCGTCCCGTGATTGGCGGTTTTAACGGTTACTTTAGCCTTCTCGGAGTAAGTCCAAAAGACGTCACAATTGGTAATGAGAGTCGAAGTGGCGCCTGAGTCTAGAATGGTAGATAGAGCTTGTCTCGCTATGCACGCTAAGTCTTCAGCACTCATTACAGAATCGTCTGGACTGATTTCTGTGATTGTTGCACAGGCTAGCTCTCCTTGCGGTTGAGAGGACGACTTTGACTCAGTGGAAGGGACTTGCGGTGTCTCGGATTTGGACTCCATTGCAGATGCAGCAACGTCTTTCTTGGCTTTGTTCCCCTTTCTGTTCCACGAGCTCTTGGTACCCTCCGCACCTCCACCCGGTTGAAGACAATGTTCCCTGTCGTGTGTCAAGGAACGAGGTAAGCCAGTGCAGACGGGATTGTCACAAGGCACCCCCTTGGGGTTGTACTTGTGAATTCTGACACTGTTTGCAGGATTGGTCGTCCTGGACTCTCCTCCGAGTGATGAGTGGGGCCCGCTAGCCGTGTTAGCATATTCAGATCCAGGCTTCGCCATCTTGAGTTGACTGCGTTGGCGATTGGCTTCCTCCGAAAAGGAGGTAGCAATGGTTTGGAAGGTGATCTTTGGTGGAGCAGGAGTAGACGTTGTGGACGTCGTAGTAGAGGTGCTGACTGAGGGCTTGGAGAACATCCCGATGGTGAGTCCTCGAAACACGATCCATTGTGGTGAGTCGGGTAACCCGTTCAGCAACATGAATATAGCTTCCTCGTCAGTGAATACTATGCCCATTTCAGCAAAACGACATCGGCCGTTTTCTAACACTCCAAGGTAGCGTGGAGCATCCTCTGTGTCCTTGAGCCTTTCAGAGAACAGCTGTGAGCGAAGCTCGAACTGCGAGGTAACGTCTAGGCGCGAGAATCGCTGAGCCAAGACATCCCACTGTTCATGAGCTGAGAGGGATTCGTCGAGCATGTTCTGGACGACTGGGGAGAGTTTGCGGCCGATGATGGCCTTTGCCTGTGCGTCCTCCTTAGTCCATTCCTTCATATTCTTAAGTTCGTCAGCAGTAGGCTGAACTGGGGTAGCAGCAACGGGGAGAGCGCTCGCGTATTCAGTGAAGTTGTTCGGATCGGTGCCTACACTGCAATGGTTCCATAGTCCTTCGCCAGCGAGTGCAAGCTTGACCGACCTGCGCCAACTGGAATAAGTGTCGGCGCCCGTTAGCTCGATGATGTGATTGAGTTTTCCCATGTTAGCAGCGAGCGTGTGTGATGGTATCCTTTGATACGTTCGTTGAGTTCTAGTCCGTAGTTTCTGAGCTTTATGACTCAGGGCTCATAACCTGTACGAAGGCTAGAACGGAGGTCTCAGCGTGATGTTAGGACAACACTATAGATGTATTCAATACCTAGAATGGAGGTCTAGATAGTACATGAGTGAATATGAGTATGTGCGAGAGAGCTGCTAAATGGTACTCACCTCAGCGTGATGTTAGGACAACGCTGAGGTGAGACGACGCGAACGGCGCTACTGATATACGAACATGGCGAATCTGTGGCTGAGTGTCGAAGGTGGTACTGTATAGTACGTAGCACAAGGTCCAAAGAGATAACTAGAGATAAGACACCGGTAGCATATGCTGCTACTGGTGACAACGATACCGGTGCAGAAGAAATGGACGTACAATTACCAAACATACAGATCAAGAAGCAAACAATGTCATATCAAACATATGAGACATATGGGCAAGAAGGACGGAAGTGGAATGACGTATGACCAACATAGTGTGCCGGCAGGGCCTGCCTTTAAAAAAGAACATCAAAAAATGTTTTGAAGTTAGCAAGCACCCCACTCACCATACCTCACTGCGATTTCTGTGCCAAGGAGATGGGCTCAAAGGGAGGTGTCAGGAGACATATCAATAATCAACCTGACTGTAGAAGGCAGTGGGAGCTGCTGGTTGAAACTCAAAAAGACATCAGCGCACCTCAGGCTCATTTAGGAACATTAAACCAAGCCGACACCAACAGTGACTCAGCTCATGCTGACTCGTATTCCTTGTATTCCCCCCATCGCCGCTCACGCTCTGAGTCTTCCAATCCCGATCATCCAGACAACCCAGCAGCGCCAAAACATCGGAGGGTGACCATTGAGGAGGTTGAAGACGAGGACCACGCGCAATATTTTGAACAATGTGTTGGCGCCGGCCAAACACTGCGTGAAGGCAAAACCGGCTTTGAGAGGTTTCAGGAGTATAAGGAGTGTATGGGCGAGGACAAATGGGCTCCCTTCGATGGTGGGTACGTACCAATCATTGCCTGTCACATCTGCAAGGCAATTAACTTCAGGTCGCAAGGGAGGAATGGGGACTCGCCGAATGGCTTGTTAAAAACCTCGGCCAGACTCGAACAGACGAGTTTCTGAAATTACCGATAGTAAGTTCAAGTTTAGTGTTGAATTTTGAAGATTTCGTACTCACCATGGCGATAGACACAAAACTGAACGAAACCTTCTTTTCACAATAACAGATCTTTCCTCCAGAAAGTCGACGAGCTTCCACACGCGACAGCCTGGAGTTGCAAAAAGGTTAAGGTCCAGGGAAATAAAACAGATGAGAAGGGCCAGACGCTGCATGAAGAAGTCGAAGTCTGGATGCGAGATCCTGTCGAGTGTGTCAAAGACCTCATTGGAAATCCATTGTTCTGTGATCACATGGTGTACACACCTGCGCGAGCATACAGAGACCCAGCAGGACTTCACCAAGTAATTGATGACATGTGGACGGCTGACTGGTGGTGCGACAAGCAAGTAAGTACACCCAGAAAAGCGAAAATGATAAGTACTTACCTATGGCGTCTAGAAACTGTTGCCGAAAGGTGCGACAATTGCACCCATAATTCTTGCGTCCGACAAAACTTGTCTATCGCAATTTCGAGGCGATAAATCGGCGTGGCCCGTGTACTTAACCATTGGCAACATTGCGAAAGAGAAGAGGTGGCAAACATCAGCGCGAGCAATGGTCCTTATAGGATACTTACCTGCTGGAAAACTTGATTGCTTTACTTCTGACGCACGCTCCCTTGCTGGTTACAGGCTTTTCCACCACTGCATGTCCTTGCTCCTCGAACCCCTCGTTGCTGCCAGTCGAAATGGTGTTGAGATGGTCTGCGCGGACTCGTTAATCCGTCGAGTCTTCCCCATCCTTGCTGCTTATGTAGCCGATTTCCCAGAACAATGTCTTGTTGCGTGCTGTAAAGAAAATCGGTGTCTGAAGTGTTTGGTCGCTGCCGATGAATGAGGGGATCCATTGACTTCGCAGATGCGGGACCCTGAGGTGACAAAAGATATATTAGAGAAGCGGAAGAATGGTCAGCATCCAATTCAATTCGACGACAATGGGTTACGCGCCGTCTTCAACCCATTCTGGGCAAATCTCCCTCATGCCGACATCTTTCTTGCCTTCATGCCTGACCTCCTCCACCAGGTCCATAAAGGTGTCTTTAAAGACCACTTAGTTAAATGGTGTCTTGAGATTGTCGGTGAAGATGAAATGGACTCACGCTTCAAAGCAATTCCAGATTACCCTGGACTTCGGCACTTCAAGAAGGGTATCTCGACTGTGAGACAGTGGACGGGTACAGAGCATAAAGAAATGCAGTGTGTCTTTGTTGGTCTGCTCGCTGGTGCTGTCCCAAGGTAAGCATTAGTAAGCCGTGCTCAACAAAGGCTGTACTGACACAATTAATGCTAGTCGAGTCTTAGTAGTTGCACGAGCCATTCTAGACTTTTCATATTATGCACAGCTTTGAATGCACACTGCTGAATCCCTCGATGGTCTGGAGAGTGCGCTTGCAGTGTTTCACGCCAACAAAGACACCCTGCAAGAGCTTGAAGTTCACGAACACTTCAACATTCCTAAATTACATCAAATCTCACACTTTGTTAAGTCCATCACTCTATTTGGTTCCACTGACGGTTTCAACACTGAGCTTCCAGAACGACTACACATTGATTTCGCAAAAGACGCCTATCGTGCCAGCAACAAATGCGACTACGAGGAGTAAATGGCCTTATGGCTTCAACGGCAGGAAGCCATATTCCTATGTAGTTCTTACTTTGATTGGTTGTCGGAACGATCCCAGTCAGCCACAGTGTCCAGTCACACATATCTCAACCGCAGAAATGACTTGGATTCAGACTCGGACGCCGAGATTGAAGAGTTTGCTGCCCCCACAAACACCATTCCGTCATCCCCCACTGCGTCATCCCCCACTGATGTGATCCGTATTCTCGCCAAGCATCCTCCACACCCTCGGCAGTCTGTTGATCGCCTCATCACTGCACATGGCACCACCATGTTTCTCCCCGCCCTCAAATCTTTCATGCGCGAGCACATGCCACATAATAACATCATCCCCGGTCCACATGACCGGTTTGATGTTTATCGACAAGTCATCATAGTTACCCCGCCTGATCCACGCACCAGTGACTCACCAAAGTGGTGGCGCATTAGAGCGACACCTGAAGTGCAGCCTGGTCCTGCCAGCCGAAAACCTTGGTCCCCCGCTAGATTCGATATGGCACTGATAAGTGATGGTGCTCGGACGACGAATTTGCGGACACTCGAAGGTAAGCATTGGTTACTATTCAACACTTCAATGTCACACTGACTGAAATGGATACTGTACTAGGTGTGTGAGTTGCACAAGTTCGTATCATCTTTACCCTCCCTCGTCAGTTTCTAGTTGGAACGAACTCCCGAGCACTAGCTTACGTCGAGTGGTTCATGCCGCTTCGTGAGCCAGATCCCTCCTCTGGCCTGCGTCAAGTGTCGCGTTCAACTCGTCAGCTGCACCGGAATGCAGCCGTGATCCATCTTGACGAAATGGTTCGTCCGTGTCACCTCATTCCAAAAATGGGACCATCTGTTGACCCTGGGTGGACGAGCGCAAACGTCTATGAGACAGCACATGATTTTTATTTTAATACTTTTATTGACCTTGAAACATTTTGTATTTCCACTCGTAGTGACTAGAACTAACTACTGCTGCTACTGTGCTACAATGACTACAGATTGCTACTACCGTCACCTGAAGCTCTACATAGTCCTGGTTTCGGCTACACCAGTTATGTAGTACTATATAGTAGCCTGGATGTCTACATAGTACTACACCGCCTATGTAGCGCTATATAGCTGCCACTATGACTATGAGGATTTGGTGTTTTTCCTGATGATGTAAGTGGCGCGTCCAGAGCTGCAAGGAGCCTTGCAGTGAGTAAACCAAGCCAGGGCGTGCCAGTTATAGTGACGGCACTCATGCGCCATAGCACCTGTTCCTGGTATGTGGGGAAGGTGAAAAACCAAGCCATACCATGGATGCCGCCAAATATGGTTGCCGTAAGCAATACAGCAAGGATAAGAACCCTCTTGTCCAAACCTTCAAGTTTGATGCTGCCATCAAATGTTGGAACTTGAAGCTTTCGAGATGGGGGAATGCCAGGAATGCCTATCAGTTCTAAAATTGGGCGAAAGATCATCAGCAAAACCCTCCTGGGCTAAATATCAGTGATTATCAACAATTACTGACAAATTACTCAAAAAGCGACTGATTTCAAGGATCACATAGATTATGTTACCCCAAGAAACTTTGACAGAAATGTTTCTAATCATTAGTTATTTGACTAATTTGTCGAGCATTTGAGAGACCATCCATTCAAATTTCGGCAAACAGTGTTCACCAATTTCCCCGCCATCAGACAGCATTACACGAACAAATTAGTTTTTGATTAGAAAAGGGTATGTAATAGCTAGTAATGACTGGAATAGAGATATGTATCAATCAACACCACGACTCGGAGTCTCGACAATCTTTGAATCGCATAGGTACACCAAAAGAGCAGATTCCCGTCACTAGTCTTCCTCCATACCCTCAAGGTCAAGCAGTTCGAAGGTGTTCAGCTCGATGTGATCCCCAGTAGCGCCATTCCATTTCAACTTACTGCAAGCCAATGGAATTTCGGGATGCTTCGACTTGTTCTTGGAGATTTCGACAAAGCATGATGCGAATTTCACACCAATGGCCCTTGAGCTATGAAAGAGCTGGTTAGATATCAACAATATGAGGAGTTCAGCCTGGTTTAAGGTCAATTAGAATATCCTGGGTATCGAACGAGGATCAACAGACTTACATCCTGCAAATGGTGGGAACGACTTGGATCAGTAGCCCTTGCTCGAACGAGGACCAACACACTCACATCAGAGGATGTCAAAAAATCCTGGACCTCACTTATCCACCTGAGGAGCCTGAATTCAGCATATCAGTAACTTCAGACATCCAGATTTCTTCTGGAATCTGTAGCGTCCATTTCTGAATTCAGTCATCCAGTCATTCAGACTCATTAGACTTTCAGTCATTAAAGTCATCCAGTATATCAGATGTTCCAGTGAGTTCAACCACTCAGGTTATCAGCCATCCAGTTGTTTTGACATTCCAGACTCATCAGTTCTTCAGTATACTAGGATGATTGGTGTAGCAGGTATTCAGTTGAGCAGGCTATCAGGTAATCCAGCATAACCAGTAGACCATTATTCCAATAGAACAGTAGCCCAATAGTTGAGTATTTCAAGTCCATAGTTCTATAGTAGCCTAGTGATCAAGTAATCTAGTGGTCTAGTAGCTGAGTATTTCAAGTCCACAGTTCCATAGTAGCCTAGTGATCAAGCAATCTAGTGGTCTAGTAGCTGAGTATTCCAACAATTTAAGCATTCCACAGTGGCAGTCAATTCTCAAACAACAGTTTATCAGTCTGCCCAAGCACCAGAATACCAAACAAAACAGTCCATTCATAGCTGTAGTACTAGACCTGACCATACAAATTTCTAACCTACTACTCTGACTCAGACTCAGACTCATAACATAAGGCCCTTCCTGATAATCCTGCTCCACCTGTGTAACATTGTTGAACGCGTATGGACTTCGGCTTATGGGCCCCAATGAAGTGCGCAGCTCCTTCGAGTATTTTCGTGCATGTGCGAGGTTTGAGTTTGTCGATAGATTCAAGGATATCTTGTGTTGGAAGATTCCACATCGCCGATGAAAATTTATCATCGAATGAGTCCTGGACTAATTCACCTGTAGCCCATTGCTTCCATGCTCTCTCAACCTTGTGAATACACGTGAGACAACTGTTGAGGAAGACATAAAACAAACATACTGCGACAGTTGTGAGGGCAAGTGCAGCTTTTGGGGATGAGGTCTTCCGGAGGCCATCAGGGATCGCAGCTATACTTTTGAGATAGAAGGCAAATGTATTGAGGATTGTCTCATGCTGAAACGGCCCCTTCCCTATCTAAAACACCAGTTAATGAATTTGCTCAGTTGAGAGCTAGCCACTTACTGGATTCTCAGAGTCGCTCTCATCAACATTGGCCCACATGAATTGGAAGATCGGAGGTGGAGCATTTCCTCTGCCTTCATCATCATGAAAGGCCTGAGTTTGGGGGACGGCCCATTCAACGTATGCTTCAATTTCAACGGGTGTATCGAAGCCTGTGACCTGCCGTGAGATGAAGGCCGCCACGGCCTTTTCACCACGTGTTGCGAACATGCTGCGCCAGTCATACGTGCGTTGCTTGACCTGCAGGAACATGAGTAGTGAGAACATGGAAAACAAACTGCTTACTAGGAAGAACACCAGATCATTCTTCTTCTGGAGGGTGTGCGAGTGACCTGTAAAACAACGGTCCCAAAGTCGTTGCACATCTGGAACTCAATCTGCTATATCCCAAGGCTCTTCAAATCGTGCAATGAGCTTGAACCACATTGGCGTAAAAACTGTCCTAAAATGATGAATTGTCCCAGGTGGAAGATTTCCATCAAAGTCCGTGTCATTATCACAGTCTGTGGCATCGTCATCAGCCTCACAGGTTGCTAGTCCACATCACATCAAAGACTTCTGCTTTGACTTGGCGTTAGCCGTGGATGATGTCTGTGAATTTGAACTTAGATGATTAAGCATGAAGGGGACATCACTTACCTTAGCAATGGCAAGGGCCATCATACCCTGTAAGTTTAGTGTAAAAATGTTAGTTTGTATTTGCGCATGTAAATGAATATACTAATTACCTTCGACTGGGCGCTATTTGCGGAGAGCTTCTCTTGTGAAATTTGAATACATGTCTTGAAGGCATAGCACTTGAGGGACTGGACACTACGTTGCCTGGAAGAATTGGGTTTAAGTTGTATTTTATGCTCCATAGTTTTGCGGCTGTTCCTGTCCTTGCGCCTCAAGTCACAGTCTTCACCATCATCCATTCTGACATCCCTATTCTCCTTCACAAGAGTATCACTCTGATCACTAGCATTATCATCAACGTCGCTGGGCTTATCATCAACGTCGCTGGGCTTATCATCAACGTCGCTGGGCTTATCGTTAATATCATTGGGACCCTCAATGTTGCTGGGACCCTCAATGTTGTGATCCATATTGTGATCGGAGCTGGGTTCTGGGTTGACTTTGGATCTCTTGCTAGGCTGGGCAGATGTTGGAGCGTCCATGTCGACATCGGACCTGAACTTAGAGTCACTGTTGACTCTGTTCTTGAACTGAGTGGACGATGGGGCGTCATCGTCAGAAGAATCGAGCGGTACAGCGAAGCGAAAAAGTGACAGTGGCACTGTCCATCGTGTGGTTCCTTGTGTCTTGCTCTGTGATAAGCTCTGTGACGATGTCCTATCTGCACCACTTGTAGACGGATCAGGCCATACTTGATCTTCTTGCTCCTTTGACACGCTTGACGAGGTGGCGGGCCATTCTGGTATGTAATCAGTACTTGTTTGCCTCTGTGCCTCCCCTACACTGCCTTGAGGCGAAACACCACATGTTGGAGCTCTTTGAGATGACGATTTCTGCTCCATCTGAGATAAGATGACAGTTTGAAACAAATTGACATGACCTACAGAAATAATTGGCTTCTGTGCCTTGGTGATTTCGACGTCTGGAGGAACATCAGGGAGATCAGGATGATCGTCGAGTCCCGAGAAGGGATTTACTGAGGTGTTCCTGCCTGAGTTTGTGAAAATATACTAGATGTGTCAGAAAGACACATTAAATCACATATCTGATGTGCATGAATCTGTGGACTGGCTGTTTGGAGCTGGCTGCGAATGCTGAGCTATTTTTCCGTAGGGAAAAGCAGGTTTCTTGTTGTGATTTGGCACGCTAGCTTCCACAATGGAAGACCAGCCAGGGATGACACCAGATGTAGCTGGTTGAGAGGTAGAGTGGAAGGTTGACACTGCTGAGGCTTTAGTCTTTTTGGAGGGACAACATCTAAAGTAGTTGATTGGTGCGTGTATAAGGTCCATCGTGGTAGTAAGGGCAAGAAGTTCATGTTTAAGCGCTGATTAATTTCAAATAGAGATAGCTTACTCAACATCATCAAACTCTGAGTCGTTGCCTTTCTCCGAGTCATTGAATGTGCGTTTGGTGAGCCTCACATTCTCCTCGCGACTATCCTTTTGACTCTTCGTTGCACAATTCCCATTTGCAGTGTCCTTGAGGCTTGCATCATCATCTTCATTCATCGCGGCTGTGTCTGTGGTGTGTGATTGCAATTAACAGTAAACAAATGTAAGGTGCACACTTACCCCTTGTATGATTCTGAGTCATCGGTTTTGTTGTCTTCAACGGTCTGGTTGTTTTCAGCACACTGGGTCCACGCGGTTGACGTGCCTCCGCTCTATCTTGAGTTTCTTTGGCACATATTGCCTCCTCCATCTTGACGACATTGTTGGATGTCTTACCCTTACTCTTTTTCAGGTCAGCTGCCTTTCTCTTTTCCCTGAGGATCTCGTCTTGTGATAGACGGGGAGGCGGCTGGTCAACTAATCCTGGGTGAGCATGCTTGTTTGCTTTACGAGTGTCCACCATGCTGACATGTCTATGTGCAGTAATTTTATAGTAAAATAGCAAGTTCGTTTGCTGACCTACTATATACATGTGAGTGTGGAAATTTCCTGTATCAAGTCCTAATTTTCCCCGTCAGTTTTTGTCTATTTTATTGCAAAGTCGGCCAATTAGTAACCCAGTGCTCCTCAGATCAACGTGAGCCTCAAGCACAACATTTGCGAAGTCACTTCTTGTGACAAGAACACATTGCATACATCTATTTGGTATGTAACTAATATTCGTCTAAGACACACATGAAACTAATTGCCCTCACCGATGTATAGGGCATAGGTAATCTCCATCTTGCACAGATAATGCCTCAGCGACCTACCTACCGACCACGCAAGTTTTTCTGCGCCAACCCTATCAATGCTCAGTGTCGCAAGGGATTTTTGACTCGTGCAGGCCTCACCAACCACAGAAACGCTGTGCACACCAATTTAGTACTACCCCCTTCTCGCATCCCTCAATACCAACTGCAGCCCATGGAGCATCATCACTTCGACAACAATGTTGGTCAACAACCCGACACAGATGTCGATAGCAGGAGCGACTCCAACAATGCACCTCCGCTTGGTGCATACTTTGTACGGCACTCTGTGATTGATGGTAAGTAATTGTTAGTGAACTATTGTCTGGTCCAGTGGCTGACCATTCAATGTTCATACAGGAACTCCTTGTGATATGGACGACAATGACCTCAATGGATCACAACCTCTCCCTCACGAGAAGCCAAAATCACCATGGCATCCATTTGCCAATCGAGGTCACTTCTCCCTCGCTGATTTCGTCTTTCGACACAACAAAATGCCGGGGACTCAGTTTGATGAGCTGATGCACATCTGGGCCAAGGTCAATGGGAGTGAGGGCGGAAGTGGGAAGCCCCCTCCATATGCTAACAAAAAAGACCTTTATGATACCATTGATGCAATAGATCAGGGCGACGTACCCTGGCAGAGCTTCACCGTTCAGCATGGCGACGTGAACAGTCTCACTGGTGACCTGTCAGCGCCTCAATGGAAGCTTGCTGAATATGACGTGTGGTTTCGGGACCCACGTATGTTGCTGCGCAACCAGTTGTCAAACCCTGACTTCAAGGATGGTTTTGACCATGCTCCACACCAAGTGTATGGTAACAACCATGAGAGGGTCTTTGGTGATTTCATGTCCGGAAATTGGGCGTGGAACCAATGTGTATGTTGAATAGCTAGCAATCCTATAATGTATACTAACGACCTTTTAGAATGAACTGTCAGAGGACCCCGAATGTCATGGTGCAATGTTCGTTCCTGTCATCTTGGGTAGCGACAAGACGACCGTGTCAGTTGCAACTGGCAACAGTGAATACTATCCGCTGTACATTTCAAATGGAAATGTACATAACAATATTCGACGCGCTCACGTTAATGCTGTTAGCTTGGTAGGGTTTTTGGCTATCCCTAAATGTAACTAGTAGTTCGTGTACTATTGGACAGACAATTTTGATAACCATTGTCCTTCTCATTCAGCTGATCGAGAACATCAAAATGATCAAGAATTTCGCGACTTCCGCCGTCACTTGTTCCACAGGTCACTGGAGGCAATTCTCTCATCACTTCGGCCCGCAATGACTACACCAGAGGTGACATTATGTCCTGATGGACATTACTGTCGCACAATTTATGGGCTCAGACCATATATCGCTGATTACCCTGAGCAATGTTTACTTTCTTGTATTGTTCAAGGCTGGTGTCCGAGGTATGCAACGATGTTTCTATACTGTTTATTTTTTTCAGATGCTGATTTTGCGGTTTTGATTAGGTGTACTGCCTCAAGAAAAGACTTGGACGAGAAGAATGCAGGTCACCTCCGAACACATGAATTCATTGAACTATTGAGGGGTACATATGCATGGAAAGTGTTATGGGACAACTGGGGGATCGTCGATGATATTATGGTAAGTACTACTATCTCACCTCCAATGAGACATTGCCAATTCATTGAATGTTTTAGCCATTTACAGCCTCATTTCCTCGGGCAAATATTCATGAGTTGTTGTCACCCGATCTGCTCCACCAGGTGATTAAAGGTTCGTTCAAGGACCACCTTGTTACCTGGGTTGAAAAATATTTGGCGAAGACATTCGTAACATCTAAGGCTGCAGCAACGATGGCTGAGATAGATCGAAGGTACGTATCTCAATCAAGCTACTATATGTGATGTACTCACGTGCTTCTATCATATCAGAGTTTCTGCTGCTCCATCGTTCCCTGGTTTAAGACACTTCCCTGAAGGTCGACACTTCAAACAATGGACAGGTAATGATTCAAAGGCCCTGATGAAGGTAGCGGTGTTGATTCACTATGATAGCTACAGTTGAACTAATATACTATTATTTTGTCATACTAGGTATTTCTTCCTGCGATTACTGGCCTTGTTCCAGATCAAATGGTCTGAGCCATTTCTGCTTTCATGGACTTTTGCTATCTCGCACGTTGTTCTACCCTCAGCGAGGCTGACCTAGATGCGCTGGACGATGCTTTGGCTCGGTTTCATAAAGAGCGCAACATTTTCATTGACTCCGGTGTCATGCCAGACGGAATATCACTTCCACGCCAACATGCCTTGATGCATTATCGAACACTTATAGAGCTTTATGGTGCCCCAAATGGCTTGTGCTTGTCGATCACGGAGTCGAAGCACATCAAGGCCATCAAGAAACCCTGGAGGCGCTCGAATTGTCACCTACCTTTAGGTCAGATGCTCTTGATCAACCAGCGACTCAATAAACTTGCCGCATTCAAGTCTCACCTTGCTGCCCACAGATTCCTAAACCCAGCCTCATTGGAACCTGCTGACATTGATCCAGGTGACTTCGAGGATCTCGATGACGAGTTTGATCCTGAGGAGGCTCATTTTAGAGATGACTCCAATCTTGAGGATGTTGAGCCAGATACTGAACTCACTAGGGTTCAAGCATCTGTAGAACTGGCCCAGACTCAAGGTAAGAGCACCAATGATTTCTCTACTAGCAATATAGTACTTACGAGAGTACTCAGCAATGGAATACCCTCGTCGGCTTCCCGAAATTGCTGCATTTATCAATTTCCTGAATCTTCCTGAGCTAGTGGGCTGCTTTCTATATGATCAGCGCAACCCAAATGCTTCCATTCAAGCAGCTGATATAGTAGATGTCAGTGTTCTTCCAGTTATCGAGGGGAGAGTAGATGTCTTCAACTCAGCTGTTGCAACATTCCGCGCTCCAAGTGACATCTGTGGAGTTAATGCAATGCAGCGCCAGCGTATTCACAGCTGCAGGTCTTGGTACAATGGTCCTGCTCGCCACGACTGCGTATTTGCCGAAAAAGACCCCTCTCTCCCTGGATTTCAAGGCCTATATGTCGCTCAAGTCATCCTCTTCTTTTCTATCACTTATCGTGGTCAGCTGTATCCATGTGCGTTGGTTCGTTGGTTCGCTCCTATTGGCAATGAGCCATGTAAATCCACTGGCATGTGGATGGTAGAACCTGAATTGGATGATGACAGCGGTGAGTGGCTTGTGTCCGTCATTCACTTGGACAGTATCATGCGTGCAGCACACCTGATAGGTGTTTATGGTTCACAAGACATTCCCCATCATCTCAAACACACTGATTCTTTGGTTGCTTTTTCAGCTTACTATGTTAATAAATTTTCAGATTATCACGCTTATGAAATCACTTATTAACCACTACTAGGAGACTACTGTACACTATATGTTGATCTTCCTTATACTATTTTGTACAGACTGTACTATGCTCCATGATAGTCTCCTCACAAGTGCTGGCATGCTGGACACGGCAAACTCCACAACTCCTTTGACAGCACGGCTCGGAGCTTCTGAAGCCGCATTTGTATATATATAAGCAAGCTAACACATAGTAGGGTGCCAATCAGGCTTATCATGCCAACCTCCCTCACTCTACCACTCAGAGCACAAAGTGCTTATTATGATTGCAGTCAAGCATGGAAATCTCAGCCCTCCACACCACAGCAAAAACGATACTCCCTAGCAAGTGGCCCTCCGCTGGTCAAACATCATTCAACACCCTCGGCAAACCACTTGGCCATTCAATCTAGTACAGACACCTGCGCGCAATTTGAAACTAGTCTTCAGATTTCGACACTAAGAGAGCCATCAGCTCAAGAAATCAATAAAGGTGGTGCGTTTTTTACTGTGTGTAGTGTCGTATCCTTTGTTAACCTTCTTAAACAGTTTGGCGCAAGAAAATTGTCGCTGAAATCAGAGGGCAAAGACATGGAGTCCACGATTCCCAGGTATGAGAACATTCACACGATAATTTCGCACAGGCCCGGGCTGACTCGTACTGACTCATGCAGAGCTTCTCCCATGTGTCAATCAATGATTATGAATATATTGCGGAAGCCATCGCCGGGGATGATGATTGGTACAAGTAAGTACTATCATTATCCGATAATCGCCATCTAACACCTTGCTTTCAGTCTATCATACACCCCCTCGTCCTCACAACTTGTCGTAATCCTGCCTAGCCCAATTCACGAGAATTTTCTGATGCCGTTGCGCAAATCCATGGATGCTGCATTTGCGTCCATGGGTATCGCCCCAGAATACAGTGAATTCATGATACAGATGAACTCCACTCTTAACGGGTGTGGGACATCAGGATCCCAAGCGAAACCACTCAGCCAGCCTGACATACTTGTTGAGTTTCACGATAAAGAAAGTGGATGGCTACAGCTGTGGGGAACTGAGGTGTCCTACTCTGAGACACGACAAGATGTCCTATACAAACTCCAAGATTACATTGACGGTGCCCCGAATATTGTCGCCCTCACGTTGTTCGATATCAAGGAAAACGTACGCCACTCACCGCCAAAGGAGTCATCAAGGATGTTTGATACGTTGAACGAGGTGGAGTTAGTAGTGCCATTCCACAAGTGGATTCGCAAGTCCAACAAATCATTTCCCGGACCAGTCACCGTGTTTCGCCACAACTGGGTGTCTGCAGTTACAGTCACAGTCACTATGTGGCTCCGTTGCCCTACCGGACAACTCAATCTGAATGACCACGATAATGAGTTTTACCAATATGCGGTGAGTGGTCCCCCTCATCAAGTAGTATCATCTAACATCAATAATAGGAGCTGACTCCAAACACTGACTCCACCGGCCTTGCAAATGTTCAATGTTTGTTTCAACACACCATGTTGAGAATTCGGGATACAACCCTCGATCACATTGATCAGCTGGCAGCCGAGGACGCTGTGGAGGAGTCTAGCAGCGACGAGTCTAGCAGTGATGGGTCTAGCAGTGACAGGTCTAGCAGTGACGGGTCTAGCAGTGACGGGTCCAACAGTGACGAGTACATTTTTTCAAAACTCATGCTGCTGATTGCTTACCTTGTCTTAATAGACCCTCCACAGCCATCGCGGACCCTTCACTACTGGCTTGTCGCACATGGGTTCCTCCGGCAATGCTCTTCGATTGGGAGACGCTGATGCCTTACTTACAGAGTGGGTTGAAGCAGACCGGATACGATCGATATTCCTCTTGGCATGAGGGTCTACTCAAACGCAAGGCACTGGAGATGGAAAATATGTCGGGTGGTGGATCGACCAAGAGGAGCAGGAAGGTTTTACGACCATGGCATACTGCAGCCCATCACGAAAGAATGCCAAATTGTAGTTTCAGCCGCGTCTCCGTTACATCATTTTTTCATCGCTTTTTCTTCATTGTTGTGTTGCGCATTGTTCTACTACTAGTACTATAACTGTTGTAGTACTACTGTACTAGTAGTAGTAGACTCGGACAGTGTCCGGCAAGTCCATGTACTACTATTCTTGTCTCTCTTACTTCACATGTCTGTGATATATGCCTTCAATCGCCCGTCGAAGGGGACATCCATCCAACGACAGGAAGATGTGTTCGAAGATCGCAGTTTAGATATTTCCGTGCTTCAGTCAAAGCGTCATTTCCAGTCATGAAAACTACACCAACTCTAGATTCTTTAGCCATTCCATGGCTAAAGAATCTAGAGTTGGTGTAGTTTAGCTTTTCATTTATGATGTATAGCCTTTGCTTCACACAATTAAACAAGCTTAATAGTAGGGTGAATCACACTGAATAGTATACATCAATGTACAGCTCTGCAAAACTGAATGTATGAACTACTGGGTGTGCTGGGTGACTGAAATGCTCCTGTATTGTTGAACTACTGAATGACTGAATGTATCTGAACAATCTGTGACATCTGGACAGGATAATGTCTGAACTACTGATCAACTGAATCAACTGAATCAATCTGAATTACCTGAACCACTAAATGTCTGAACTACTTAGTGACTGAGTGAGACTGGGGCAACTGAGGGGACTGGATGTCTGGACCACTGTGTATCTTATTGATCTGATTCACTGGAAAGAGTCTGATTTCAGATGTTCAGGTATATAAGTTGTATAAGTTGATCCAGGTTTTTTTGACATTTACTGATGCACTTCCTGCGAACGGCGGGCAACGATTTGGATCAGCGTGACCCTTGCTCGAATGAGGATCAACAAACCTACATCCTGTGAAGGGGCAACACCTTGGATTAGTGTGGCTGTTGCTTGAATGAGGATTGGCACACTCACTGCCTGCAAACAGTGGGCAACACCTTGGATCAGTGTGGCTGTTGCTTGAATGAGGATAGACAGACTCACGAATTGCAAACGGTGAGCATGAACGACAGGCCCTGACAACTTCAATCAGCATGGCTCGACCTCGAAGCAGAATCGGCACACACGGTCTGCGAACAGTGGGCAATGACAAGCATGAAAGGACGACTATGAACTGTTAAACAAAACTTTTTTTTATATCTAAGACGTACCTATCAGCTTGATGGTTGAGGCTGACAATGTTGAGGAATCATAATGAGGGATCGATGTCAGAAGTTCAAAAGTTCAAAGGTTTTCAAACCAAAGTCATGCGAGTCAAACAAATACACGTAAATGGTTCGATTTCAATATCAACCAAACAGTCACATGAACGAAACAAATATGTGCAAATGACGAATTTCAACGAAATTTCAACGTTATGGTCTCAGCTTTTCCTGCATATCATTTGAATGGTTTACTTACACCATTCCTGTCTGCTCCTGCGTGAAATAGCGGACTTGATAAACTCTCAAGGTTACTGCGCAGTGGTGACACAGTGGCTAGTGATACATAGATAGATAGATTGTAGATAGACATACTTTTTCAAAATTCAGATAATTCTCGCTAATAATTTGTTCTTGTTCAAATAATCCACCTGACATTAGTGGTACTCAAAATAAATTTTGAAACTCTTGAAAACTCGCTAAACTGCGTTCAACTCCCTTCAACTCCCCGCTTAAAGTTTGAAAGAACTCGTGCAAGTCCGAGAGAAATGTGCTCGGCACACATCGGCATGTAGTCGGACTTTAAAACGACACTTGTGATTTTCAAAGTGTGCTATGTACATAGGGGAAAGTGGTAGAGTAGCGGTCCAACATAATTGTATTTCAAATGAAAGCATTAATAAAATTGTAAAAAAAACAAGGCCCACGGGAATGAAATCAGCTGTAGGTAGGGAGCGCGGGAGGGACCAAATAAGTGCCGAGCGGAGGAGGGGGGGATGAAAAGTGTCGGGAGGAAGATCTGCATGCCTCCGTGAAGACGCAAGATCAAGTGGAGGGTGGACATCCTTCTGGATGTTGTAGTCAATGGCCATCTTCGAGCTGCTTTCCAGCAAAGGTGAGACGCTGCTGGTCAGTTGGGATGCCCTGCTTGTCCTGGATCTTCGCCTTCATGTTGTCGATGGTGTCCGATGACTCCATCTCCAACGTGAGGGTGCCTCCGTGGAGACAGATAAGGAGGCGGAAGGTGGACAGGCCGTTTGCCGGTAAGGGCGAGGCGCCACTGGTCAGGTGGGATGCGTGTGGAATCTGGATTATAATAGATTTCCTATAAAATAAAAGTAAATGTTAGTTAACTACACACAAAAATGACTTACATTGGGTGGATGGCACCCGAAAATTTGATGGTGGCCTTCTCAGCACTGTGGATGGGCATCGAGGTTCAAGGGTGAGGTCGACAACAACAACGACAACAGCATGCTCAGTGCAAGACGAAGCCTCAGAACTTTCCGAAATTTCAAACTCTGCTGAAAACTGCGTCACATATACACACAGATAGGAGTTTTGATCCCACACGCACCATAGCCCCCCACCATAACTATGCCTCGTCCATCCACTCGTAAAGAGCTCCTGAATATTGTGGATCAGGCCGAACTTTCTTTGGCCAGGTTACGATACCAGGATATCCTAGAGGACTGGTCAGACTTTGAGAGTGATTCCGACTCCGAGGACTCGCTTTCTACTACTCCTTCAGACGATGATGTTTCAATCAGTCTGTCTTTAAGCACTCCTTCCCCCATGTCCCCTGCCTCCCCTTGTCCCCCGCCTCCCCTATTTCATTCATGTGAGGTAAGCTTTCAATTTAGTCACTAGCAGCTCAAATACCATGATCTCAATGTTCTATCATGTCTAGCATAGTCCCCATACATCAGCCCTATTGAATATCTCTGAAAAATATTCAAGAAATTGCTTGCAGCCTATCAAAATTCATCATAGGGGCTATTTCAGCTGTAGGACAGAGTTGCAGCAGAGTGAGAAAGGAGTGCTAAGAAGAAATATTCAAAATTGATAGATAGCATGTCTAGAAGAGTGGCAGAAGTGATTAGAGCAACAGAAGGTCACATAAAGTATCATAATTATAGAGATTGTGTTGATCAAACTAAAAGTCAAAAAAGTGTCTCAATGAGTCACCAAATTAAAATAGCCATATCTGCACGTGATGACATCAGCTTCCCACGCTATAGGGGACTCAAATGAGGCTAAGAAGTATAGCTTTATGACACCTCCCTATAGTTTAGTCATATTCCTACACCCTGGCGCATAATAAAGCAATTACATGAAATGTTACAAACATTGAGACACTTTTTTGAGCCACTGTATATCTAATCACCCTATCTTCCAGAACCAGTTCAACAATCCTCAGCTCCCTGTCTCCATCCAGCTCGCCATCTTTCTGAATCGGGCAGGCCACTATGGCAATTCCATTTCTCTCAAGGATGTCGCTCAATGGGCAGGCATGAGTGTCGGGTCCGTAGTTAATTGCACTAATTGTGTGATGATTGCGGTGCTTGATGCCCATGATCAGTTTATCTGCTTCCCAGCAGGTAATTCTGAGGATGCTGACCTGGCTCACAAATTTGCCGAGTCACATACTTGTCCAGAGTGGAAAGGTGGCTTTCTAGCCATTGATGGTTCGACTATGAATCTGTTCACAAAACCTGGTTATTACGGTGAGACGTTTTATGATAGGAAGTCCAATTATTCCCTTGGCTGTCAGGTAACATTTTTGTTCTTCATCTTCATGTGCAAAAATTAATTTAATTCTAGGCAGTCATCCTGCCCCATAACCTCCTGATTGTTGATTACTCTCTTGGTCATCCCAGGAGTGTCCATGATGCATTCGCTTTTCGATCCACTCGCCTCTATGACAAGCATGCTGATCTTCTGCCTGATAGTCATTGGGTTTGGGCAGACAGCGCTTATCCATTGGAACCATGGTGTATCGCCCCTTTCAAGAGGCCTCGCAATGGACGGCTGACAAAGGACCAGAAGACATTCAATTATCACCTCTAAGGTATGTTTTTTTTTAGTGATTTTCAATTGATTTTCATTTATGTAGATTCATGTTCATGTTGAACACATGTTTGCTGTTTTGAAGGGACGGTTCCAGTCCCTTCGAGAGCTACGATTCAGAATTCAGGCCGAGAAAGACCTCGAGTTTGCTGTGCAGTGGATCAAGTGTTGCATCATCTTGCACAACATGATCATTCACTTTGAAATCGAGCATCGCAAGGAGGACGGAACATACAAGAGTTCTCTAAAGTGGGCTCGCACGGAGGGGGAAGATTTCATTGATCAAGAGATTGAGGGTCCAGATGGTGAAGAAGTAGTTGGTGACAGGACATATGATGGCACTCCTGGTCAAGCTGCTCGTGCAAAGTTGATGGATGAGCTCTTTAACAGTCCTCACTCAGATGCACACCATAGGGAAGGATGATCAATTCTTTTTGAACATGTAATACTACTCAAACACTTGTACAACAAATGTATATACCTATGTACTCAATCACAAAAGGTAGCAACAAAAACATATGTCCAATGGAAACAACAACAGCAAATAAGACTATGAGATGATGACGAGAACGAAAATGAGACAACGACGAGAACAAGAACGAGACAACGACGAGAACAAGAACGAGATCACGACGAGAACAAGAACGAGACGACGACGAGAACAAGAACAAGAACAAGACAACAACAATGAGAGCTCACTCAACTCCATCAGATGATGGGCCCTTGCTCGCCTGCATCATTTGTTGAAATTGAATCTTGAGTCAAAGGGTCTCCTCCTCCTTGTCGAGCACAAGTGAATGCGCTTCATAGACTCGGATGTCGGTCTCGTGAAGGCAGATCTCGCTATCCTTCGACTCCTGCAGATGCTGATGGCTGACGGTAGCCTGGAAAGTCTCATGTTCACGGGTGGCGCGAAGGTATTTGTACTTCTTTATGTCGTGGGTGTGCTCGATCTTCGCGAGAAAGCGAAGGTGCTTGTGGTCGTGGCACAATGTCGCGTCAGATTGCATCGACGCTATCTTGTCCCTCACCTCCTCAACCTGCTGCGTCACATCTGACTTAGCTTTCTTCTTCTTCGATCCACCGGCGCTGTTGGGAAGTGAGGTCTGGGGGGTCGAGGACATCAGGTAGTCCGACGATGAGGTAGTATTCCGTGTTGTGGATGAAGGTGCTGATGTGCTGAAAGAGATATCTGATGGCAGCCTGCGGTGTCTACCGCGGCTTGGTGGCTTCTTCAGGCCAAACACTGAGCGGCTGTTGTAGACAGATGATGGGGATGCTGTTGGCATGTGGAAAGGTTCGGGAGCATCGGGAACGTCGGGAGGGGGAGACGGTGACGAAAGCTGTCGCTTCTTCCCAGCGGCTTTGGAAGAGTTATCGGCCCTCTTGTCACCTTCAAGGGGGGCATCCAATGGGCCACCAGTGCCTTGAAAGTCCATGTCCATGTCCATGTCGTTGTCTGATGTTGGAAGGCCAGGGAGATGGATTTGGGGGGACTTATTGTAGGGGGCAGCGGAGGGTAAGGGGGCAGTGGAGGGTAAGGGGGCAGCAGAGGGTAAGGGGACAGCGGAGGGCAAGGGGGCAGCAGAGGGTAAGGGGACAGCAGAGGGCAAAGGGCCAGCGGAGGGCAAAGGGCCAGTGGAGGGCAAAGGGGCAGTGGAGGGTAATGTGGGAGCAGGAGCACAATGTTGCAGTGTTGGATTGATGGAGGGATCACTGTGTGAACCCCCAGCATAAGACATTGCTGGGGGATAGTAGTGCTGGCCGTAATGTGAGGGCGGAGTGCTGGAAGGATGGATATCATGTGGGGGATATACTTGAGGAGGCGGTTGAAGGTACTGCATGGGACCAGCGCTGGCATCAATGTGCATGGGGGGACCAGCACTGGTGTCAAGTTGCATGGGGGGACCAGCCCCAGCATGTGGTCCAACCAAGGAATATAACGCGCCGGCGTGATTGACGCCAGGTCTTGATGAGTGAGTCTTCGCAGCCATGGACGGATTGGAATGCCAAATGGCATCCAATTCTGTATACCATGGGAGCTCTAAGAGCGCTGCATCTACGAAATACATCAGCTAAGGACCGGAAAATAAGGAATGAGGACTCACCCAAAAGATTTCTCGTTTGCGTGCCTTCACCAGGCATCACACCAGCGCCAGTACTGTCAAAAGATGCCTTGAGTTTCTTGTATTTCCTCCTAAGTCTACATAAATTTCAGTATTTTTTGTAACGGAAGAAAAGACGGAAACGACTCACATTTGGATGCGGTTGCAGACTCCATCACAAAACTTCTTTGCATTGGTGGCGAACACGTGACCATACCTCGGGTGGTCGGTGAAAATAAGTTTGGCCAGGGTACCATACACCTGCCCCTTGTCCGAGCCTGAGGCACCATCATCGATGGCAGACATCGCTTTCTTGCCATCAGAGTAGAAAAGTACTCTGCAATTGGCGGGGTGCGTGGAGAGATGGCTGACGAGGATGTCGGTAAGAGCACAGTCGCTCTGCCACTGGATAGTCAGGCGGGGTACATGATGTTCTGGAGGGGGTTTGGCTGGTCCGCGAGTGTTTGGACCTTTGTCGTCCATTGACCTGGAGCAGCACACTAGAGGGTTGGCTTTCAAGCGTGCAGAACGGCGTACACATTGGCGAGAAGGAGGCATGGTTGTTTGAAACTCTGCCAGTGATGCCGGCCTGACCTTCAATCGCAGTCCCAGCAGCCGAAGTGTTGGAAGCCGCTTAGCCACGAGTTGAAAGCCTTAGTCAGAGTTTAGCGAGCTTTCAGACATTTCTAATTTTTATTTTGAGTATCACTATTATCTAACATTATCATTCTTAATGTAATTATGTGAATTCACAATGTTATGTAAACTTTAGCAAATTTATGTAATTTTGCCCTGGGAGGGTTTTCCTGATGATTGGAGCGAAGATCCCAAATTGAGCGATTTTATCTTTTTCACTGACACTAAGGCAGACATAATCAGCAGCGGTATAATTGTTGAGGTGCATACACACCCAATGTAACACTCCGGTGTCACGGTTGAATTCGAGTCAGTAGATGCTGAATTAGAGTCGGTTGATGTTGACTCCGAGTTGGTCGACTTCCAATGCACTGGATGTGGACATTGCACATTGAGAGGCTTGTCCCACCACGCAGCATAAGTCAGGAAATTGAGGACTGCAAAAGCGAGTGTGCCCACTTCGAGCTGGGTAGTTTCAAGGTGATAGATAGCGCGGGTGATGAGCTGCATAACAAACCAGGCCACCTGAAGCAGAAGCACAACCACTCCTTTTTATATGGCATTGCCCTTACTCTTGTCGTCGATCTGGTCTGACCGTAAGTGTCTATGCTCTCTTGGATGTGTAGATTGCCCGGGCCTGGTGACTCACTACACTAAAGATGATTCGAAAGTTCTCCCCTAAACAGATGGTAAAAGATTTGTCACACATTCCATCACACTGCACGAGGAAACTCACCTTCGCATCAAGCACAACTTCTCTTCGCCATGCTGCCAAATGCTCTGGCATTGTACTGCAAGAAGTCAATCCTGACTCGGAATCTCTAAAGGTGTGGAACACTTCTGCTGCCTTTGATTGTGATCGCGTTTAACCTGGTGTTATGAAGCACCTACCAGTGGATTGATTAGGATGCCCGATATTCCAGCTGAATCTGTGCGTTGCCCATGTTCGCGAGTGGATATCGTCCAACGTCACTCGCTTCCAAAACAATCAAGCAGGTATCGATGAGCTCATGAGAACATTCGAAAGCGCACCGTTTTCGTGTCGGATCATACACAATCTCTAGCAAAGTAAAAGCCTTCCATGCAGTATATATTACAAATGATTCAATCATTCACCTTTAGGATGTGCTACGAGAAGCTGGATGCTATCATGATCTTGAGAAATAAGCGAGCCATAATGAAAGGTATCATTTCTGACATTGAATTCACTTGGGAACTCAAACTCAAGTACTCCTGGGCCGTTCTGGAATCATGTGCGTCCGGATTGACCTGATTGACCGGTCCATGCACAAACTTGTAATACCACAGGTAAGCTGACATAAAGACATTCAAGATCAAGAAAGTATTGCAGGCAGTCTGATTTACCTGCCCTGAGCTGATCTGGGCGGATGAGGTGTCACGTGCTACGTTGTCCGATGTTGAAGGTCTCTGGAAGAGTATACTGTGGTGGTTCTGGCGATAGCTGGGGAAGCGTAGCGTGTGGGGGGCGCTGCTCAGTCATGGTGGAGACTGCTGTGCGACTCCTGGCCAATATATATACCTAGGACGCGGCCAATCACGGAGTGCAGTATGCATATTTCCTGCTACAGCAATGACTCGCCTAAAGTTCGAGGCTATGATGTCATAAGTCACGGTATTGACACAAAACCAGGGATGGTAGAACGGTAGTTACCTAGAATTGCCAGCATACCTGTATGCATACAGATGGAGAATCAAGCATACCTAGAGTAGGAATATGTTGATTAGAACGTACCGAAGGTCTCTTTGGGATGCGGACTGTCGACCTATGTCTCCCTTAGCTTGATCATTTCGAACACTTACAAATCACTGATTGGTGGAAATTCGATGTTAGGTTCTGGCGCACCGGGTGTGATGACGGTCCCATACTCGGGGGGTGCCGGTATCTGCCATTTCAGGAACGCCTTCTAACATTTCGTACCTTGTGTGCGTCACGCCGTCTTGTGACGATCTGCAGAAAGGAATTCCGTGGTGCCCTGAATGCCTCGTGTTTGAAGTCAACGTTGGAGCAGGTTGGAGCTTACCTTAAGGCTTGTAGCCAAGGGTATAGGACTTTCCTTTCTCGATCTACTTGTTGCCATTTCCGAGTTCGCTCAGACTAATCAAACGACGATCTTTGTTGGACTCGGAGGTGAACCAAAGGTGAATAAGAACAGTGCCGCACCAACCCGAATCATCGTATAGCTGCTCATCCTCTTATTTCAACTTTGGTACGACAACTACTAAGTAATACTCCGAGCAACTGAATCCAACCCGCATTCTTTGACCGTCCGTCATTCACGACGCCGCTAATTGAATGGACATGGGTATTGGGTATAGTCGCATTATGGGTGTTACACGCGGTATCCGCTTTATTGAACTTACTGTGTAGGACGGTGACTTTACCAGTCGATTTAACACCCTTCATCACTCGAACAACTCAAGACCACATTTGCGGAGGTGGATTTGGCGATGTCTGGAAATGCAATTACAATGCAGATGGTATCTCAGCCATCGTCAGTTCACGTGTTAGACTCATTTACCATGCGCTGGCTTACCCTGACCAATCGATCAACACATAAGGTTGCGGTCAAGGCCTTCAGATACCCAGAGCAATGTGAAGATTCAGAGAGAATACACAGGGTGAGAAATATCAGGCCCGCATATATAATAGCACATGCTACTTATACCATTTGGGTCATCCAGAAAATTAACAGAGAAATCGGTATTTTGACGATTCTACGCCATAACAACATTGTACCGTTGTTGGGTACAGTGACAGGATTTGGACGGAAGCCAGGGTTGCCCAGCTTAGTAACTCCGTGGATTCCCAACGGCACGTTGATTGCCTACCTGGCATCTAAATGCAACGATCTAACAGTGCTGGACCGTTCACGTATGGTAAGTAGAATTCCCACCACATCCTGTCACTTACTAGGACTGACTCGAAGTTGGAAGCTAGAGGATGTCAGCGCTGGACTGTGTTACTGTCAGTTTCATATTTTTTCTCAAGATGTTATGGTAACCTACCATGAGTGCAGTGCACTCTGTGCCTGTCGTGCATGGGGATATAACAGGGGTGAGTCCGGAGCTGCTAGGATATATTTGAAAACCAATAAAACTGTAGGCAAATATACTAATTGACGAGGGAGGCCGGGCGAAGCTAATCGATTTTGGTCTTTCCACCGTTATCGCGCCCCTTTTCGGCCAGCCACACTTGGCTGTAACATCGATACATCCAGGCGCAATCCACTACGCAGCACCAGAACTTCTATCAGATGATGCCAATTTCAATGGCCTACCTTTGGAAAAAACCGACATCTACTCGTTTGGTTGTGTAATGCTTCAAGTGAGTTGGTTATTTGGTCACAAAATATTCACTTGAGGACTTATGGAACAAGATTCTCTCGGGTCAGCACCCTTGGTCTGAGATCAAGTGTCAAACCCCGGAATTCCGTGTCTATGGTTTGAAACGCCAAGGTCATAGTGCGCAGCGTCCCAACGGCCACCCTGCAATAATGGACTCAGATTGGGACATGATTCAAAAATGTCTGCGATCAAAATTTGAACTTCGGCCTTCAGCAGATGAAGTATTCGACTTCGTCAAGCGTAGGCCTTGCTCATCAGGTCAGCCTGTATAGTCCGTAGTGCTTTTCTGACCATCCACTCATTTGAGCTTCAAGATTCTTCGAGCCTACCTAACGATTCTCCCGATGATGAGCAGGGTGGTTTCCCCAGAGCTTCCTCGCACAATGATTCCAACGGTATAACAAAACACCCGCTCAATAGTCCACGATCCCACCCTGATCATGAGCTGACGAATGGAATCACAGAGCCTGGAGCTCGGATATATTTGTAGGTCCAGATCTGCACAGATTCACGAGTTTTAACATCAATTTTTCCAGTTCTTCTTCGCCACCCAACACTGATTCTTCGCCATTATTTCCGAGTGTCAGTACTGATCCCACCACGGCGTTCGACAGTGATTTTCGTAAGTTACATTCATGTCAAATAGGCGTCGAGGCGGATATGTTTCATCACCATGAGTAGTTCAGTCGACTAGCAACCCAGGACATGAACAGAAACAATCAGTACCACCACCACCTCAAAACGCATGGTCAAGCAACCATGAAGTACGTGCTTCTTGAGAGACATATTACCACAAAGAGAGGTTACTGATCGAATATATCAGACGCGTCTGCGGGAAAGAAATATCGTCATATTTGGCGAAACAAGCTCAGGGAAAAGCTCAATCATCAACACAATCGCGCAAAAACAGCACGCGAAGACATCTAACAGCGCACATGGATGCACTTCTACCACTCAACGCTACCCAGTAGAAATTTCAGGCCAGCGATTTGTCCTGATTGATACCGCAGGTCTCTGCATGGGGACTGCAAACACAGTGCCGGCAGCGAAAGCGGAAAAAAAGTTGAAGAGTTTGTTGCATGAGCTCATGAGCTCCAAGTTGAATGGAATCAGCCTTTTGGTGTACTGCATGAACAGCACGATTGCCCCTGGCGCCCTCTTTAAGGCCTATGACAAATTCTACTCTGGGATCTGCCAGAAGAAGGTTCCGATTGTAGTCGTCATCACAGGATTAGAGACCCACATGGAGAACTGGTGGGACACCAATGTGGAAAAATTCAAGGGCATGTATTTCGCAGACCATGCTTGTGTCACAACGCTTTGGGAACACCCTGGCTTCCCAGACCACATCACTCGTCGTATTTCGGAGTCAGGCGATATTCTACGCAAGCTTGTCATGAACAACTACGCGGATTTGCCAGTTGCCAACGGCTCGTATTCGGCGACCGGCAAAAGCTGGTTCAAGAAGATTAGTAAGAAGGGATGAACGGCGAACAGGAAGTAAAACGTTGAGTCTAGGAAATTACAGTGGTGTACCCGGTACCGTATGTTACGCTACCATTACAGTGCACGTGATAGCATGATGCTGCGTAAACTCTAAAGTATAAATGTGCGGCTATATAGTGCCCGGGCTTTTCGCAAAAAAAATGCTGTGGTTCTGATAGCCTCGTTGTTTTCATGCGCATCCCAGAGCGATGTAAAGATCACCTCCTTGGAATGATCTTGCATTGCAGATGGGCCTTGCAAGGCACCTATGGAATTTTCTAGGAACTCTGAGTCACATTTACAGTACTGAAGGCGCTGCCGCACCACCGCGCCCCCAACGTCGAAGCCGGGTTTCTGAAAGATAAGGAATTCCCAACTTGGGATTTCGGAATATTCTGCTAACAGCTTACAGGTCACAGTCTCACACAGCACTGCGCCGCAAGGTTATATCAAACGGATCAGAATTCGGATATTACAAGGTCATTACAATACTTTAACATATCATTATGTTTGTACAACGAGTGTAAGAAAGATATAAAGCCCAAGTAGCGGCTTCGCTCATTCTTTCCTCCTTCATCATCCACTTGTTTTAGAAATTGTATTGGCATTTGCCATGTTCAACATTGGCGGACATGTTTTGGCACTAGAAGGTAAAGTACTGTAGTACATTCTTCGATTTCCCATTTCTCATATTACCCGGTCCACTGCGACATGCAGTTATTGCAGCCATGAACCTTCCCAACATTTCATCTACTCGCATGCCCACTGGCCATTACGTCCGTGTCTCTACATCCAATGGTCGATGGGGGGCCACCACGACTAAGGCAGCAATGACTGACTCAAGCAGCGTTTCTTGGAACGAGACCCTCACTATCCATGGGTGCCCTCTGACGTTTCCCCCCTGTCTCATGCCCATATTTTCCCGCAAATCAAAGGCAATCCACCTCGAACTTTGTGCTTCATATGAGTCTGGACATACTGAGCTTGTGGGTGCGTTTGAGACGACTTTCGGACAAGTACTTGTGAACTATGGACAGTCCGGTAAGCTCTCACCTTCAACAATGTCGTCGTTTCCTAAAAGCAGCTTTACAGTATCATGTTTGGCTGTTGATGATCAGCGCATGTCTCTTAAGTTGAAAGCGCAGCGTATCAAAACAACACAGCCTGTCGAGGTATAAAGTTGATCCAGTGTCTTATGTTCAGCTCATTCAGTTGACTTCTAGAGTGTTGTGGCTGGTCAACCTGTGCACAGCCCAGCAGTGGTTCGATCGACCGACGGAACGAGACAACCTCCGTCTTCACACGCATCATCGAGCAGCATGGAAGTACGTGTCCTTCATTTTGAACCGCATCACGCTTACTAATAAAATATAGCAGACACCCCCACGGGCAAGAAACGTTGTCATCTTCGGCGAAACAGGCTCAGGCAAGAGTTCTATCATCAACACTATCACAAAAAACCAGCTTGCGAAGACGACCAATGATGCTGATGGATGCACTTCTAGCGTTCAACGCTATCCAGTAGATTTTTCAGGCCAGAGATTCGTCCTTTTTGATACTGCGGGTCTTGGGGAAGGGCCTGCAGGCACAGTGCCGGATCTGGAGGTGAAAAGACAGTTGAAGAACTTACTGTGTCAGCTCATAAGCTCTAGGTCGCCGTCAGATGGTATCGACCTTCTGGTGTACTGCGTGTCGTCCAGCAGAATGCCTGGCCTTAACACCATCGTTCAGACCTACGATATGTTTTACTCTAGGACCTGCAGGAAGAAGGTCCCAATCGTCATCGTCATCACAGGATTGGAGAACGAACCGAACATGGAGAGCTGGTGGGATGAAAACAGGGGTAGGTTTGAGAGAGAGAGCATGCATTTCACAGACCATGCTTGTGTCACGGCACTTCAGGAATACCCGGACATCCCAGACGACGTCACTCATCGCATTGCAGAGTCTAGCGACACTCTACGCAATCTCCTTGTCAACAATTGCTCGCATTCAAATTAGTCTGTCAATGACAGTTGGTCCAATCATGTTGCTGGATTGCAGTGTTCGTTGTCGCCGTGGTCAAAGGATTAATGAAGTTACTGTATTTCCTGTTTATATATAGTCAGTGTTACTCCTTTCCATTCATTTTGGTTCGCCATCTCCATCCCATTCATCCATCTTTAAAGAAAATCTAATTTATTCAAGTTGTTATGCCTCCTTGGATACATAAGCACCTCTCTTAGGTTCTCTGATCGAAGATTGAGGTTGAAAAATTTAAACTTATGGATCTTGTACAGCGAAGAACGTAGCTGCTAGGCGGAGGAGAATATGAAAATCGCGTTGTTCATAGCTGTTGAGCGTACCTAAGTCCTTTGTCGACCAAACAAATCCTGCATCTGAATATCGTTGGATAAGTACAAAGTGTATTACAAGTACTGTGATCAGGAACTATAAGTGCGGCACCAAACTAGTCCACAACACCGTTTGATATGCTTCAGGAGGAAGATCGCGTAAAGTGGTGAACATCAGAACCAATAGGACGCCACGAGCTGTGATGTACAACATGATATATGGTACATAGAGCAGGATAAACCATGTAAGTGACGCGTCCAGAGCTGCAAGGAGCGGTGCAGTGAGTAAACCAAGCCAGGGCATGAAAGTTATAGCGACGGCACTCATGCGCCATAGCACCCGTTCCTGGTATGTTGGGAAAGCAAAAAACCAAGCCATACAATGGATGCCGCCAAATATAGTCGCCATAAGCAATCCAGCGAGCAAAAGAACGTGTTTGTGCAGTTGTTCGAGTTTGATGCTACCATCAAACGTTGGAACTTGGAGCTCTCGAGATGGGGGAATACCAGGAAAGCCTATCAGTTCTAGCATTGGGCGCAAGACTGGAGCCAAGATTCCAAACTGAGCGATTTTATCTTCTTCACTGACGCTGAGACAGACATAGTAATAAGTAGCGGTCTACTTGTTGAAGCGCATACATACCCAATGACATACTCTGGCGTCACGGTTGACTTTGACTTGGTTGGCTTCCAGTACACTGGATGTGGACATTGCACATTGAGTGGCTTGTCCCACCACGCAGCATAAGTCAGGAAATTGAGAACCGCAAAAGCGAGTGTCCCCACTTCGAGCTGGGTGGTTTCTAGGCGATAGATGGCGCGAGTGATGAGCTGCATAACAAACCAGGCTACTTGAAGGATGACCAATCCTTTTGATATCGCATTGCCTTTGCTCCTGTCGTGGATCTGGTCTGCCGTTAGGATAGGGACGTCGATACAGTCCTGACGTATCAGTGTGAGAATGTGATCTGGTTGTAGTGTACGGCTTGCTGTACGGTGGGGTTTCCCATTCGCATAAAGCATGAAACCACCCATGAGCACAAAGAAGCTGTGCGTCTGGGTCCACGTAAAATCTAAGGATGCACATGAGCCAACATTTAGGTGAGCACGAATCAGGCTTACCTTCCAAACCAGACTCGAGTTTCTCTGACTTAATCCACCGTGCGGCCCACCTCATAGGAGCACAAAGGACACGCCAAAGGGACACCAGCACAGATAGTATACCTTTAGCAAGCAGTCGAAAGAGGCAAACAAAAGCCAAGAGAATGTCGAGAAGGAAACGATTTTCAGTTCCAGGTGCTCCAAAAGACTTCTTTTCTAAGAACATGTATAGTGGGTTGCGAGATGCAGAGTTTCCAAAAGCACGACTCACCTTCAGATTCCGGACGAACGCTGGGATATCCCAATTCCTTGAATTGTCTTGTAACTTGATCAGCGCTGAACCACTGTCGCATAGCCCAAGTGACGATCAGTTCAGGAGCTATCAATGCCATTATCACCATGCAAATTTGTCGCCATAGGCCATGAAGCTGGCTGGTGTGCTTAGGACTCGGGATATTGGGGTGGATGGCACTGTAGACGCATGCAAAAATGGTGAGAACGGAGCTAGAAATTCTTGGGACGAAGGCTTAGAATGAATATATGTAGATGGCTGATAATAGGAGCGCAAGTAGGATAGATTTTTCGGGAATTTCCTAAGTACAATATATATCATATGTTTTCTCCGAAACTCAGTAGAAGTCCGCTACCCCTGCTTTGTAAGCATGTTCGGCTTGTGTACTTCAACACTCCCCCTCAAGCCGATGTAGAGAATTATGCCTCTCATGGCGTGATATGGTGCTTTACACTAGGAAGTACATAGCACGAACTTGTAGCGTCACTCTGTGCACTACCCACAGCTATCTCTATATGACGCGCAGCTTTCCCGCGCAACGCGCGCCATGCGCGCACCATTCCCGCGCTTCGCGATGTATACGCGCGCGCGCGCGTTCCCGCGCTTGCGCGCCCTATGGCGCCAGCCATCCAGAAGCATCCATCCACTGTCCACCAAGCTCCCTAGTGCGTATATTTCCATTTCCTTTATTAGCATAGTTCCACCTTTATTTTTATCATGCATTCTCACTCATATATATATTTACATACCTACTCGGTAGCGCTTCAGCTCCGCTTGACCGCGCTTAGGCGCGCTATATAAGCGCCAGCAGTACATACTATTACTAACCTTACTTTTCCCTTGAACTTACTAGTTATCACCCACTATTTACTTAGCAGTACATAGTAGAAGTCTATTGGTCTACACTTTGCATCTATCTTTTCTTATATTGCTTTATATCATCACTTAAGCTTAGTCTCTTTTATTTCCGCTTACGCGCGCGCGCTTTCCCGCGCTTCGCGCTAATACGCGCGCGCGTTCCCGCGCCTTCGTACCTTGCGCGCACTTGCGCTTTCTCACGCTTCGCTGAAGCGCGTACCTCTAGATCTTCGCAGCACTCGCTTCCCCTAGGGTCGAACGCACTTGTCTCCTCAAGAATAGCAGACTAGGTAACGCGCGACCTCACAACATTTTATAGATACAGTTAGGAGCATCCTTGTTCCTCATTGTATTGTTGTTTCTACAACTGGAGCCCACCGCGAGGGGAGCAGTCAGCAAGATCTAGTTTTGCGCATCTTAACACATACAGGTCAATCTCTTTGCATTTTCACAAGCTAACCAGTTTCTAGTCACGCATTCTCGCGCCTTGCGCGCGCGCTTTCCCACGCTGTGCGCCTCGCGCGCGCACCTTTCTTGCACTTCACACTATTTAATACATATAAGGTCAATTTCTTTGCAATTTCAAAAGCTAACCATTTTCTAGTCACGCATTCTCGCGCCTTGCGTGCGCGCAATAGTTCCCACGCCTCTGCGCCTTACGCGCGCACCTATACGCCTCGCGTGCGCATGCGCCTTCGCACGCCTCAATGCCTTATAGATTGCCCATCCGCGGCACAGCAAACGCGCCCAAGTTCGACGGCACTACAGACAACCTCGCCGAATTTATTGACGCATATGAGCAGCTTGCTGATGAAGCAGGACTCCAAGGACACGACCGCATTAAAGGTATTATCCGCTACCTTGAGCGCGACGATCGAGAACTATGGGGAGGTATGCCAGAAGCGGCAGTAAGTGATTATGAAGCATTCATGACAGAAGTGAAGGTAATGTATCCTGGATGGGATGGTAAAAGACGCTACGCGCTCGCGGACTTGCGCGCTATCGCGCGCGAATACGCTAACAAACCAATGACCTCTTGCACAGAACTCAGCAATTACCTGCGCGCATTCAGGAAGGTTATGCAGCCACTCATGGATGAAGACCGTATTGGAAAGGCCGAACGCGACCACCTATTCATGGAAGGAATCCCTAGCGATGCTCAGGCGCAAATTCGCTTGCGCCTTATGATCAAGTTCCCTGACCACCATCCATACGACCCATACCCATTCATGGACATCTTCGCAGCTGCGCAGTTCCTATTACCTGCGCGCGCTTTTCCCGCGCCAAGCGCACCAGTAAGCGCACCAGTTAGCGCACCTGTGGTAGCGCCAAGCACACCAGTGCAAGCTAAGGTAGCCAAGTACAAAGATCGCTACCACGCGCGTCGCGCAACGCAGGATACGACCATTAGCGCTAATGCAACAGCTGGACTCTTCTATCGCGCACCCTCAGATGTTGTACTTGACAGAAAGCCACCAGTTCCTATTCACGTGCCTCGCGCGTGCGCCTTTCCCGCGCCTTCGCGCGATTCACGCGCACCTCAGCTATCAACTGCGCCAGCATGCAAGGCTATACCAGACTGCATCACTTTAGATCACGAACTCAGGCCCGCGCTCACAAAGCGCGCTGCAGGCGCCTCTTCACCTTCATCATCAGCACCATCTCCTTCACAATCCGCATCATCATCATCATCATTCACATCGCCAGAAGTCAGGGATGACTCTAAACATCTATTGCACACTAACGCGCCAGTTGAAACACGCGCGCCTATCGCTAACGCATCGCGCGCGCCTATCGCTAACGCATCGCGCGCGCCTATCGCTAACGCATCGCGCGCGCCTATCGCTATCGCATCGCGCGAAGTCAGGGATGACTCTAATCATCTATTGCACACTAATGCACCGCTAGAAACACGCGCGCCTATCACTCTCGCATCGCTCAAGGAAGAAACCTCGCCAATCGCACCATTGCCATCACCACTATCACCATCCACATCATCAGAGGTCAGGGATGACCCTAAACATCTATCGCGCCTTAGCGCGCCTATGGAGGAGCCTTCTGCCGCATCAGAGGCTCAAGTCGCACCTTGCATCAACCAGAGTTTGTCTCTGGTAATTCCATCTGTCGCTAACGATCACGCGCATGTCGCACTTTTTGCATCCAGTGACTATCGCTTGCCGGTAAAGCATCCGTGCGTCACGCTGCACATCCACCAAGCAGAGCATGTCTCAGGCAACCCTGGCGCAACTGAGGCGCACCATATTGCGCCTGAGGATGCGCAATGCGCGCGCCTAGAGGCAGTGTATATTTACCCTCATCTTGTTTCGCGCTTTTTGTCCTTTTCACGTTTGAAGCTCTTAAGGAGCTATATGATGATTCCAAACACTTTAATTTCATCTTCTCACCACCCCTTGTTCACGCGCCATGATCACGCGCATCGCGCAATATGCGCGCGCGTTCCCGTGCCTCGTGCACTCATAAATTTAGCAGAGTTTTCACGCTACCGCATTTCTATCGCTTCTCCCCTTTTAAATTTCATTTCTGTCATTCAACACAAGGTATATTCCAATCAGACATCCAGGCGCGACATAGGCGCGCGCCTGACACATACATATGCGCCTAACCCCCCTATCAT